TTCTGAGGTGTGTGACAAGGGGAAAAAAGAGCTGGACTCAAAATTGTGAGTGACTTGGGCAAATGCTTATTTCCACCTTCATTCGGTCCTTTCCAGTATTCAGTGTAAACAATGTACTGTATGAGGCGAACTGAATCAATCTTAACAAAATTTGGGTTCTGTTTACCTTTCTGGAAAATTTATAAAGCAATTTTTGATTATGACATCCATATACATGTATGGTACCGTATGTACTCATATGTACAGTGGTTGGTGATGTAATAGAACTGTCCAGTTTGGAATAATTAAGTGTTTGATTACTCAAAACAATGTGTTTTCGGATATTTGAGCAATAAACTGTAAATGGGCTTAAACCTGCTAGAAGGATGTGAACAATGGCGACAAAAAAGTTACCGTCGACAAAAAAGTGGCACCTGACAAAAAAGTGCCGCAACTTAACGATAAAATAACACTTCAGTTGTGTCATGTATGTGCAATTTTTTGTTTTTCTTTGAATATTCACGCTGGCAAAAAGCTATTCGAAGACTTGATTGATGATCGAATATTCGACTATTCGGTGTATTCGGGAATCCCTAATATGTAAAGACCACAGCGACATTTGAGCCCACCTACATTGCTGTTTTTCCTTGTGGATAGCAGCATATGAATGTGGACAATGGCCCAATACACTCCCCCTATTCAGGCCACATAATGGCCCCCATCATATTGGACAGCATCATAATTACCGCCCCCAATTAGCCATGCGAAAAAAGTTGGAGGTCTCTCCCCATGCCCACCATTGTACAGCGAACACACACTGGAGTTTGTCTTTGTATTGAACACGCTAGGGCCGAGGAATCAATACCCCTATGACACGCAAGGAGCTCGGACCATTCAAGCCAGTCACAAACCTTGGCTTAGTTCTGGATAAAGACTGGAGGGGTCTTAACTCAAACTGGATGCTAGCTACGGACTGGGTATATATGTAATCCCATGTGACTCTCAGGGTAGTGTTATTAGGATTACTTACCTAGGGTGGGGGATGAGGGATGGGAACAAGTGTTGGGAATACGTAAGACTTCCAGCTAATTTCGTTAGCTAAAATCCTTAGGCTGGACAGAGTGTTAAGTTTGAATGTGAAGTATTATGAAAGCTTTTTGCATTGGATTTTTATCAGATGTGTTTTTTTTTAAGGGAAGATACAACATTTGCAAACATCACAAAACGAAATGATCAAATTATCATGAAATACCTTACTGGATTGTTAGGGAATGACAGTCTAAAACATTCTGTAAAATCGTGGCTCCTGGTGTGCTATCATTTTTAACACTACATGTACGTGTATATTTTTTTTGCACAGAAAAATTCACTCGACTACAACCACAGGAAACTTAAGCTAAGTTAGAGTTAAATGATTCATAAAAAAATTGTTCCAGATGAAAAAGTTTCATCATTTAAGAAAAAAGAATATAGGCCTACTTAGTAGAACTTTGTTATACTATAAATATCACAAGACATGTACAACAATCAAACAAAATCTTTACAGCTTCATCTATACTTTACTAGCCATAACCGTGTCATTGCAGATTTAATACAAGCTGTCCTAGCCTCTTTTTTTGGCTGTTAAATCAATTCATCAAGAATCCTGGTTTCTCTGCCTTAAAATTTTAATAGGTTTACTTAATTTTGTTAATATCACTTTTCATAAACTTGTTACTTTGCCAAAGCTATTGCAAATAAGGATATGGTCATGGGTCATTCGGGATAATCGAACGCTCACCGAAGGAGCATGAACGCGCACGGACCCGGGCGCATGACGCTCGTGTGTTAACTACAAGCAGAATGGGCGTCCGCGTGACATTGCGTATCATTACGTCAGCAATTTTATCCCGAATGACCTTTGACATCAAGACTACTTCATTGAGATACCAAACTGGATTATTGTATTAGATGCGATTTTCTCTTCAAAATCTGCTGCGCACTCCACATTAAAAGGCTTTTAATAAAAGTCCATAAGTGTTCAGAGAAACAAAAAATGCATCACGGATAGGCAACCAGTATGGCAATACAAAAATGAACATCTTGATTTCCGTTGTTATATGCACATCCATTCATTTCACCCAACTAGTAAAGTGTTGACTGTTTCTCGACTGTCAGCACAGCCATATTTTCAACCAGAGAAATGATTGGGTAAGCACATGGAGCTAGGTGCAAGCTTCCCTCTTCCACACAGCTAGCTCATCCCTTTCTCAGCCCTGAGTGGCTTATCTCCATCTTCCAGTGGCAGCTGACAGCAACACCAGGGGTGGGCTAGCTCCTCTCTCTGCCTCATGATGGAGGGTCTTGGCATAGCTGTCATACCTGCCATCTCCTGGCCATGCCCTTGACCTCTGGGTAACTGGGGTCCCTGCCGTCCCACAGGACCTAAAGCCTTCTTTGCAGCTTTTCATTTTAGCCAGGAGACTGACAGCTCCCCCCTAAGGCTCTAACTGTTTGGCATCCAGGCTTGCTTGGAAAGGAGCAGCATAATTCAAGAAGGAATCAACTTTCTTTTAGAGGAGATTCCAGCCCTTGCAACACAAAACTTAAGGAATTTGTCATAAAGAAGTAGCGGAGATTTTGTGGATTTGATGCATTGAAAACATGTGAAAGTACAAATGTAGGTCTACTTCTTCAACGTTTAATGGCAGAAAATTATTCTTCAATAAAAGTGGGGGTTGGTTTCCATAGATACTGTGATTATGAACTTCTAACTCCCTAGGCCTTTTTGCTAGGATGTAGCCTCAATCCTGCAAAATCCTCCAATTGGCCTCAATCCTGCAAATTCCTCCATTATTTCTTGTATATGGTCCGTGGAGGGCTGACCGCTGCCTGAGTCCTGCAAAATCCTGCGGCAGTGACTGTCAAAATGTTGAGGCTTGGCCAGTGACATCCTGGAGCAGTACGGAGGATTTCAAGCATAATCCAGGCCTATATTTATGCATGGCTGAGCAAAAACAACACAAGGTCTGGCCCAAGACCTTGACAAAGTGCATCCTATGAAATCAGTAATGCACTTTTGCCATATCTCAATCCTCCAAATTCCTTAACTTTGGCAAAGAAGATTTTGGAGGACTCCGGGCGGTTAGGGTTAAGTTGATTATTCTCAGTAAAACACCCAGTGAAATGATGTCCATATTTTAACATTTTATTTTATAAAGTAAGAACAATTTTGACGAGAGTTTTATCTCTTTTTAATTTCGAGTTCATTTATTGTTGATACACAAATGTAGTACTAGCCACAGCATTAAGATGAAATGAACACCTGATCATGCAGCTTACATAGGTGTTCATTCACGAATGTGCTGAAGGGAAATAGTAACATTCTTTGAGCAGCAATAGAATGTAACTTGAAGCCAATGAAAGTTGAGCTGTAGGACCACCAAGGAGGCCGGTGTTGGCCTGTGTCTCACATTGTGCTGCAAGTTGATATATTGTCAAGATGTGCTGTTGAGATTAGGTTTGAAATCATCTCAGATTTGTTTGGGTTTGTTGGCCCTAAAGCCAGTCGCGCTATGTGATCCCATACAAGCCTTGAATAGACCTGTATTATTGTAAATCCTTAATAAAATTGGCCTTTTCTTTTAGTTTGTTACATCAGAGAAGTAATGAGAAAAAAGTATTTTAGTAAAATCTTGAGTAACTTAAGAAAGGGTGTGTCATATTCTCCCCCCCCCCATTTTTTTTTCAAAATTATTGCTGAGTAGATGTGATGTACAATATGCATGTGTGCAAGTTTTTCTCGGATCAGCTGATGTCCTCTTTTTTCACTTCATACTTGCCATACTCATAAGAAATGAAAAAACACTGTACAAATACTGTGTAAAGCTAGAAATTTTCTCTTTTCTCGTTACTGACTTACTTTCCAAGTTGCATGCCTGAGTATTACATGTATTATTATCTATCGTGGATTCATTTGTAAATTTATGAATGGAAGAAAGGAAATTTAGCATCAAAATGCAGTTTTTTCTAATGAGCTGAAACAGACTAAATATCACGTTCCTTGGGTAACCTTATAAAAATCCTTCTGTGTTTAACCTCTGAGTGGATATCATTGGTGAATTCCAAACTGTTGGAACCAATTTAATAGTTCCTGACACAGCTATGTCTGTAATTGTAGACCAAGTACTAGTAGGTCAGTAGCAATGATCAGTTCAATCTGTTGGCAGTATACTGATACTGTAGCCACTTTCTGATAGATACATGCAGATATTTTGGATACATAAACTGCCTTTGTGATAGGACTTTTTAAAGCTAGTTTTTTAACATAGTGATTTGTACGACTTGGACGCAGTTTTCCCTTTTGCACCAACTTTGTGTTGGACGAGTTTAAGGTTGAGGCCCGTCCAAACGTGGAACAAGAAACCCAACCCTGGGCCAGGGAATTATTTATTGTCCCATCTTCAGCAAAAGTACTGATTAGTTTGAATGGTGCATTGCGCCCTCTGAATTAGATTTGAGCACGGAACACATTGCTTACGATAAAACCCAAGTTTGATATAAAACTTGTTGAACAAATATTTATTATAAATGCTTTTAAAAGAGCATGAAGACGGTTTCTGCTTCAGGTGGAATACAAATATAATATGAAGAATTTATTTCCAAAGCACAACTTGAAAACAGATGATAAAGTTGCACGTTTATGAAAATGTCTAGCTCTTACACAGAACATATAACAGCTGTTTTGAAAACTTAATTTTTGGTTTTGGTGAATCCTTATATTGTGTTTGACAATATAACAGCCATCAAAACTGGCTTTGGGCAGCCAGTAGAGGGCCGCATTCTAAAACTGTAACAAAATGGCATGTATCGCGTTTTGGAAACAAACTGTTAACATGGTAACTAAATGAACGTAGCGAATGTTGGATTATCAGAGTAACTTAGGATATAAGAAAGTTTTTTGAGTGAGAAAAATTGAAAGTTGTTAATGTTTACCATGATTGACGTAAAAACCTAAACGTTTCCTTGTGTCTTGTCAACAGTTGGTGGAAGATTAGAGCAAGAGCTGGATTACACCACCAAGACATTAGGAGATGGCTGGGGAACCACCAACCAGATCATCATACAAACTCCCAAAGATGGAGCAGGCAATGTGTTGACGCAGGACGCATTGCTTCAACATGTCCGATCCACGATATTAGCAACTCAAGTGCAAGTCGAGATGTACGGCCAGTAAGTACAAGTTACATTATCTTCTCCTCCCTCCTTCCCTAAAGTACCTTTCGTAAAGAAAAGAAAGTATCGTCTATTAAAAAAAAAGAAGAAAAACAGCTTTCTTTGTGAGTTTGTGAAATATAAAATCACGGTAAGGCCAAGTAAAATGGCCCCAAAAAAACAGTTGACCGTCACCGCCCGCATCCTTTTTTGAAGCCGCATTTGTTTAAAAAAATATTTTTAGTTGTTTTTTATTCACCTCAAACAGCTAACTTTTTCTTGTATAATGCTTAAAAAAAGTACATGTTTGACCTGAATATTTTGACTCTACTTACTATTAGGGCGGCCATCTTGGAAAAAAAAATAAAAAAAATAAAAAATGAAAAGGCCCTCATCCTCCTCTTTTTGAAAAAACCTGGACGATCAACTGTTTTTTTTTTTTACGTGGCCTAACAACTGTTTTTTGCTCAGATTTAATCAATTTTGTCATTTTGTATAAAATCTAGTTTGATTGTACTAAGTAAGTATGCATATTCAATGAGGGGGAAGTTCTTGATCTAGGACCTAAACCTATAAACGTTTTTATCAGTTTTGGTGACCGATAAGGAATACCATTTGAGTAATCCTGTCCAAAATTGGCATTCTCTCAATATTCGATCGACAACTATTTCCAGAATTTTGGCAAGATGTCAGATATTAAATTGGACTCATAGGCCAATACCAGCATCTTAGCCACCATCCAGGCATGAGATTTTTCAGCCTTTTTTTGAAATCAGACCTCTTTGAATCCGAGGGAAGACATCAGTATGGAACTTTCAGACATTTTCCATTTAAAAAAAAAAGACAATATCCCTGACCGTCACTTCTTGGTACTGTAGTATTAGCAACCTTCGCATAGTTGCGGCAGTTCCTTCAAGCATTATATCATTGCTGTGTCCCCGCTTAGCCAGGAGTCAGTGTATCACTGTATATACCCTACCTGACCCAGTTAGTCATGGTAAGGTAACACCCGCCGAGCAGTAATACCGCACTGATCCTGCATACATACATGTACACACACCACCGGGGCCCTTTACACGAGCTTTGACTGGCCCAGCGCTGTTGGTGGGCCCGACCCTCCGCTGTAATTCAATTACTTTGAAAATGCCTACCTTGGGAACCCAATGGAAGGTCGGCCGGGTCAAGGGAGGGGAGAGGAAAGGCCAAAGTTCAAAGGTCGGGGAGTTTTACTGTATACAAGGAGTGTTCGGAGAAAGGTGCTTCCGTGCGTTGCGTTCTGCCAGTACTGCGTTCTGCTTGGTTTTTACACAGACATTTGGCTATCATGTGCTTGGCATTTGAAAACAATGGTATCAAATAGCTGTGTGCTTTGGTATTTCAGCTGATGTTTCTAGGGTGCCCTCACGATGCATAAATTATGTCATATTTGATTAAAAGGATTAAATATGATGCTGTCATTAATGTATCCCCCTTTTGTTAACTTTTAGGTACCAGAAGTACAAGTAGGGCCTAGTTAGATATCACATGATAATGTGCGAATCAGTTTTGTTTTCCCCAAACCTTGACTCATTGAATTTTGTTCTCTCTTTTCTTTTTCCCCCAGAACTTGGAGCTTCAAAGATGTTTGTTATATTACTGATTTTCCAGCTTTTGAAGATAACATTGTAGATCAAGTGAGTGAGAAAATTCTTAAAAAAAGGCCAATCCAGAAATGTTATTCTTAAAATGTTATATTCTACTGAAGGTTATTATATGCATAATTGAATCTCATCCATGGGGAGATCCAAAAATAAAGACTTTCAAGGTTTTTGATTTCCTCAGAAATAAATCATTGGAAATACTTCAGTTTCGTCTGTTTCCTTTTGTTTTTCAATGTATCATTTTTTCCTTTTGTTTCAGATCATTACTGAGTTAATACCTTGTACAATAGTAACGCCGTTAGATTGTTTTTGGGAGGGATCACGTTTGCTTGGTCCGGAGAACCCTGTACATATTCCGTGAGTATACATTTGCAAATTTTGTGTTGGCTAAGCCATGGTGTAGTTTCAAGATCACTGTTGATTTGTTACAGTTGGTATTAAGATCTCTAAACAGGTGTTAATTTTTATGTTGAAATCAAAAGTTAACACTTGGTATGAGATTTTGTAACAGTACCGTATTTCAAATATATTCAGACTTAAAAACTGCAGACAGTCTTTTTTGTAAACTTGTTACCATTTACCGGTATATGATTTTGTATACAGATTGCCAACCTTTTGCATATATTAAAAAGTTATTCTCATTTTGATATAATTTTAGATCCAAGACTTTCTGACTAGATTAACACATAAGGTGACAGATATTAAACTTGAACAGTGTTTTCAAATTTCATTTTTTTTGATATGACTGTATCACTTAAGCTACTTATGGGGGAATGGAACCTGGGACTTAATGCTTATGTGCCCATTTAACCCATTGTCTTGTTGGTATCATAGGATTGATCCAATTCTGCAAACTCAAAAACTTTTTTTTTCAGCAAAATGTGAACAGACCAGAAAGCTGACATCTATTCCTCGTTAGTACCGCTGTAAGGAATCTTAGCTTCTGTAACAGAGACTGATGCAGTTTTCAAAGGAAACTGTAGTTAGCAGCTTGTTTTAAACATGTCTCTCTTAAGTTAAGGCTGGTTCATATTGCATGTGAAAGCGAAGCAAATTTCATGAGATCACAATTGAAGTTTCATTGTGACATTCCCTTAGCAAAGTCGCTTTGCACTGAAATTCACGTGAATATGAACCGGCCTTTAGATGATAGGTCTGGACCATGCTTGGGCCATTTCCGAGGTCTGGGTTCATTGATGTTGACAGCATCTGGTTGGGTTTTTGGTTTTCTTGGCTTGTCTGTTTTGTTGTTGTCAGCCCTATTGGTTTCTGACCACTGACCATGCCTATGCTCTGTGAATACAGAAGGTCTTTCTTATCTTGATGTCTGGAGCACGGAGTCCCAAAGTCTGACATCTTTCTGACATCTGGTCCGTGGGATTTGACTGTCAGATCCATGTTTTTTCCCAGACTTCAGCAAGTTTTACAGAAAGTTAGATCTACTTTTGCTTTCTTGGTTATCATCATTTTTTCCCCATCACAAGTTCTAATGGTCAATTGGGAGGATTTCAGACTATGGATCATCGGTAAACCACATTTGCACAAACTTCTGAAAGTTGATGTACTTGTATATGTTAGGTGATACATCATAATTCTGTTGTTCCCAACATTATTCGTCTCATTTCATGCAATATTTTGCAGCATCTATAGACAGAGGCTACTTGTATGTTGCTTCATTATTCTTTTCAGGATGTCAAGTTTGAGTACTTGAAAACTGTTATTAGCAAAAGCCATAATTAATCAGTTTCACATCCCACCACATTGATTGATGGTACTGTCAGTTGACAAGAATTGAAACAGTTGATATATAAATACAAATGTACGACTATTGACTACGCACATGATACATCTCAAACTAGCGTCCTCTGTCCCCTTGTCAGAATCTTAGCGTTTGTATCCCTGGACTGAAACTGAACCCATCTAGACTTACAGACGCCCTGCCTTCCGGATCCTTGTTTACTTATTCCGTCAGTTTAGTAAAAACACAAATTGTACTATAGCAGCAACTATCATTATTCTCTACTGCATCCGGTGTTCTCGCACACATACATAGCCTGTGTACCAAACCCTCCAGTAATCGTTATAAAGCAGTAACATACAGGGAGTATTGAACCAGGCTAGCCAGGGTCTGGCAGCCAAGCTTGACAGGGGGGCTTCTGCACTGTGTGCAGTAGTAGCCTACTATACTAGGCCCGGGCACATAGCTAGAAATATGACATGGGCTATTTAGAAGTGATATTAATGAGCTCTGCTTGGCCTTGTGACTTGGCAGATGTGTGCGAGGTAGTAAGTCATATCTTGACAGCTATAAACACACAGATATATAAGCTTTAGTCAGTAAGGCCTTCTGTGATATCATTTAATCATATTCACTCTAGTACAGACATGTAAGCCAGTAATCTTTCTCATTCAAATACCTATCCCTACTTATATTTGGACTAATGTTTCCACTTGTATCAAAAAGTATACCGGTACTTTGTGTGTACACGTTTTTATTTGTTAAAGTTGTAATTTCCTTCATACTTACAAATGACTTTGAGCATTGACTACACTGTCATTGGAAGGCTTGTGTACTTTATGTTTAAAGATCTTGGAATAGACAAAGTTTTAATGCATGCATTTGACATGCCTTCAATCAATCTGCCCTAATATTCTTTATAGGCTACAGTTTATAACTTCAAATTGCACAGGAAATGGTAAGTTCATTGTCATCACACCATGCAAAGGATAAATTTGAAATCACAAATTTTTGAATAAATTGACACATATTACGCCTTGCAGTTAAACCCTCAACAATTTTTTTGACTTGATGGGTTATTATTTTTCGGTCCTCTTCTTTAAACTGATAGCTGTCAAAAGTTCATGGTGAAGGTTCTTTTTTTAGATCTCCAGAGACTTTCCCTGACCTTTGACCTTTAAATAAGCTTGGGGTCAGGTGAACTTAAAGTGTAGTGTATAGCATGCACTTCTGAGAAGGGTTTGGCTAACTAGGGCAGGCTTTGTGTATGTGGTGACAAGCACGACCTCATTTTACCACAACAAATTTTAACCATATTATATATCCCAGTGCCCATATACCTGTATGCTGCAAATCCTTCTGACCTTGGCTTGAGTAAAAGTGCAGAAAAAAGCCAAGTTTGTTAGTGATTGTTACAGACAGATGCGAAGTGTCGCATTGGAAATTTGATATGTAGGGGACATACAGTGCTTATTCCTTACTCTGTCTTGTGTGGTATTCTTATAAGCATCTGGGCACAGACGATTGGAGTTCATATTGAAATTAGAGGGACTTAAATTTGCATAGTGTGGGAAAATCCAAAGCATCCAAAATTACAGGGAATTCCTCTCAGTTTTGGCTTTCGACAAGAAGTGAATTTGCCAGAATCTATTCAAATTTTATTAAAATGGCTAGTTATTAAAAGAACTTTCTCACCAGTTAAAAATTGATTGTTAATCAAACAGAAAGAATCTTTGTACCGTTGAAGTGTCATAAGGTCTTGAATTTACCACTGAGCCAGCTCTTTAAAGTCCTCATCATGAAGTCAGAAACCGCAATGTCTGTGGAGCTAGCGGTTTCTGGATAGGGTTACAGCACGGAGGGATCCCGTGCTCCAGTTTTGAGAGCCCTCGGTCTGGCCACACATTGGCGGTGTTGGGAAAGAATTCTCCTATTAGTTGTGGTTTGTGTGACCGAGGTATTAGACCCACAATTGCTCACCTCTGTAGGATCAAGATTCACACTCCTTTTAGCACATCGCCCCTAGAGCTTTTGTCCGGACCTGGCTTGTGTGGTTTGAATTATCTCTAGATGGGTATCATATGATTTGATGGGGTTGATGCTTGTGAAGTTGCAGCCTACAAAATGTTACCAAGTAAACATCAATTTTTTTTTTGTATTGGCTGCATATGTGAGCAAGAGTTTGTAAGTATTGGCCCCATCTGAGCAAGTTATTCTCAACACTCCTGGATAAAACTTAAAAAAAAACACCACCTTTTTTTGTCTCTAAATTTTGTAAAAAATATTTTGCATTTCTGATTTTGTTTTCGTTTTTCTTTTTTCTTGTGCAGCTTTTATAATGATACATTAAGATGGAAGACTCTGGATCCCATACAGCTATTAGAGCACTTTGATGATTACGAAGCCTTTATCGCACCGGAGTCGTTAAGAGATATATTCAATAGGGTAAGCTAACTCAAAATGAAATAGTTGCCTAAATATTTTTACTGGTTTGATTAATTGATCTTGAAATATGTTATTTTCAGTAATATGTCAAGAATTTATATCCAAATTTTGTTGTCTTTCTTCTCCGGCCGTTGACACTGTCGTGATGTCATTGCACTATTTCCTCTGTTACCATAGTAATCCCAGCTTAAATCATCTCTTTTTGTTTGGTTTGTTTGCTAATAGACGGGGATCGGCCACGCCTATCAGAACAGGCCATGTCTCAACCCACAGGATCCAGAATGTCCAAGCACAGCGCCAAACAAGAAAAGTGGACAGGTAATTCATAGTGCATTATAATTGAAGGTTCCCCTTCTTCCCCCCCCCCCCAAAAAAATAATAATAATAATAGTAAACTGGTACTTACAGGTACCGGCCATTAAACTCAGGCCACAACTTAGATTGGTCTTTTTGGAGCCAATGGAAATAAATCAGTTTAAGTCAACAAAATTTAGAGAAGTTAATACATCATGATTTAGGAGGATACAAAATATTTGAGAAGCTGAATTTAGAAAATTTATAAAAGTTTAGGTGCTTTCACTTTTTGAGAAATTCTCTTAAAAAGTGGCCTTCAGTTGCAAAAGGGTTATTTTGGAGTTTTCCCGTGTTGAGTACTAGAATGTCAAACCCATGTAGAATACATTGGATTCTTGCTAGAGTGAAAAGGGTTCTTGATATCTCTGTGTCGGACCTGGATCCAATGTGGAGACTTTGGATAGTGCAAAGAGCCCTTTTTAATCGTTGTGCGCCTGGCCTGGCTGATGGATTCTATTTGCATACACCCAGGTGCCTGACATAGCCGCTGAACTGACTGGCGGTTGTACAGGCTTTGCCAGTACCTTCATGGTGTGGCCCGAGGAACTCATCGTGGGAGGAGTCACAAAGAATTCCACCAACCACATCACGAGGTATATGAATATTTATGACTTTTTCTTTTCATAATTATCACCCCTAATCTAATATTCATGACTCACAATAGAATACCTGACATCAGTGTTTCAGTATGTAATGGCTGTTATAATTAAGTTAATAATAATATTGGTGTTCACAACGCATGTTTTAAAGAAAATGGTTGATTTGTATTGTTCAAGGTATTAACGTTTCACGTTTTTAAATAACTTTTCATTGTCTGAAAACACCAATGAAAAAGTAACTTGAATTAACATAATGATAAATAACCATATGCGTTTCTATTTAAATGCTGTTTGTTCTGATCTATTACTAATCCTTTGTCTGTTTTCTTTATTTTGGACATTCTAATAATTCAGATTAGGTAAGTGGTCGTTAACAACCCTGTTTGAGAGACTTGTAAGCTGTGGTTTTTGTTTTGTGTAAAAGTGACTTCGCTGCACATGCTGCATGCATAAACTGCAAAATTTGCATTTGTTGAACTGCCTGATGCATTTACTTGAAAAGCAATATTCGGCAAGGTTTTTTTTAAGTTTGAGGTGAAGAATGTGTTTTTTGTGTGCATGTCGTGATTCATGGTTGTGTGAACTTGTATTGTTGCAGCGTATTTGTACACATTTTCAAATGTATATAAACGCTTGTATCAAATATGACATTTTCTTGTTCTTAAATGCTGTGTTTTTTTCGAGTAGTGTTTCTGTTTGTAGTCCCTTTAGTAAGGTTTGTTCTTGCCATCTGTATCACTTTGGCTGGTGTGATTTGGCAAGGTGAACTATCGATGATAAATCCATCTGTTGATACCTGCTAATAATTCTTCTCTCTGTGTGATGTTTTCTTGACTCCAGTGCGGAGGCGCTTCAGAGTATCGTACAACTCAAGGGCCAGAAGATGATGTACGAGGCCTGGAAGGGCAACTACAAGGTGGATGAGATCAGGTGGACGGCAGAGAAAGCTGGAGCCATTGTGGAGGAATGGCAGCGTAAATTCACACAGGTAAGGAGAACAAATATTCTAAACAAGAACCCACTTGCCTTGCTCTATTCTAAAGGTTTCCAAGACATTAGTTCCCTGAATTATCAAAGAACTTGCCCTTAAACAGACATTGTTGTGAAGATAGAGCAGAGAATTATTTTTTTCCCTAGAAATATTGTGGAAACGGTAGGCATGCAAAAGACTGTAAATGCATTTTAACATATACTGTTGGCGATCACAAAAAAATCAAACACTTTGGTTACTGCAAACATGACAGTCAACAGAACTTGACAAACCCAGGCCCTCTGTGGAGAAAAAGGAGGAGAAGTATTTCTTTTGGACCCCAGAATCCCAAACTAGAAGACAAGTTACTGTGATTGTGAAGGGCTTAATCATTTTTTTGGGCGTCCATTTTTTTTCAGGTTGTACGGAACAGCTCTGTGCTGAACTCCCAAGACGTGAATGCCTTCACCTCGGCCTCGCTCAACGACCTGCTGCAGGAGTTCTCAAATCTCAGTGTTGTCAGAGTGGCTATGGGATATGTCTTCATGGTAAGTTGCTCTTGAAATCACCAGCTTCATTCCTTCAAATAATTATGTTAACAGTAGTTAACCACTTCGCACCAGGTTTATTTTTGCCGAAAATTTCGAAATTTTCAAAAGGCAAAATTTCCCAGCCAACTTCTGATATACAGCCAAACGCCACATATGCTGATTCCCAAGAGTGATTTCAACAATATTTGTACAATATTTCTTGCCGAAACTGCATACGTTTCAATACTCCAGGGTGTGCACTGGAGCGTAAATGTACAACAATTGTGCATGATATCGCGGCCTCCGGTGCGAACTGGTTAACCAAGAGATGTTGAATTATTAACAAAAGTGCTGTCAGCAATTCAACTTTGCTTTGCTCCCTTGTATCCTGTTTACCTAGGTGATCTATGCTTTCTTCACCATGATGAAACTCAGTGACGGTGTGCGGTCTCAGGGTGGGGTTGGTCTGTCAGGGGTTCTGCTCGTGGCCTTTTCTGTGGTGGCTAGTCTGGGCTTTTGTGCCTGGATCGGGCTCACATTCAATGCATCCACAACTCAGGTAGGCCTTTGCTTTTGAATTTTCTTTTAGTACAAGAATCATTCAAATCACTCATGTACTTTTCAAGTTATGGAATTTTTAACACAAACATCGTTTTATAGTTTCGTTTTTTTACTCGCCCTGTAGAGTCATGATTCGCAGTCACAACCATGCTATTGTTTTGTTGGAAGTATGGTCCCTTTCTTTCAGCATTCTGATAAATGCCGCCTTCCATTTGAGGGGTTTTCCCCTGTCAAACATAACATTCAGTCAGAGAGGCTATAGCCTTTCAGTCAACAAAGAAGTTCTTATCGCCTGTCTGTCTACAGAACGTCTTGGACAACCTATGGTCTCAAAAGCCATATTTGTCCACCCACTCAACCACTTGAGCGGACATTTTCAAAGATCCAGCTGGGATAGAAGTTTGCTATAAATCGTAACACACTACACATGCCTGCTTAGCAAGTTAATACTCCTGCAGATATTTTCAAAGGAACCCAGGCTTTCAAATATTCCTACTTTTCCTAGTTTTTTTTTTACCTTGCTTCTACTTTTCATACTGTTTTCTTGAAATTCCTACTTTTTCCTACTTTTTTGTCCCACAACTCTGAAAAATGAAATTTCATTGAATATTTTTCATAACAGTGTTACACACTGTCATATGTAAATCACACAATGAAGGGCTTGGGCGCAGGAGTACTGCAACTGTACTTCCAAGAGCTTAGTTGAGGATGGAGCACAAGTGTTGTACGTACAGAACATGTCAAATGAGGCTTACGATTCTGTGGACATGGGTGAGCATCTACGAAAACTACTCCTGAAAGTCCGCAAAAGTCCTACTTTTATCCTGATTTTGTCCTCCAAAGTCCTCCTTTTGTCCTGTTTTTTTTTTTTGTTGAAAATTTTGATTCTTCTATTCTCCTACTTTTTCCCCTGGGTCTGCTTGAAAATAGACAATTCTTAAAAATGCTTTTTTTTCTAGCAATACAAAAGTCATTCACTTTTGGCATAACAAATCTTGAATTCTTAACAATGCTTTTTTTTCTAGCAATACAAAAGTCATTCACTTTTGGCATAACAAATCTTGAATTATTTTCGTCCCAACGGGTGGATCTTATAGAAACATATAAACAACCAAAAATGAAAACTATTTTTCATATTATTGCAGACATTCTTAGGAAAAAGCAATTTTTATTGTGAAAACGAAACATACAAATTGAAAACTCATTAGGAGAGAAGTTGTATTTGTTAAAGAGCACAGACAGAGCTATGTTAACCACTGTGCCTTTAAATGGAGGGAAACAGGCAAGGGATGTCACTCAGCCTGCCTAATGGGTCAGGGTCATCCAGAGGTCAACAGGGTGATGTCACTGGCCTAGATTCAAGCAGGGAGATAATCCTGTATCCTTTCCCTATCTACCCATGGTATTACCCTGCCCCCCTCAAACTCTTCAAATGGGGGCCGTGGGGTCATGGGGGCTGCCAATGAGCTGACTAGCTGGGTGTTACAACAAAGTGACATTCAGACTCAGTTTGGCTGTTGCTACTATTTAAAAAAAAAGATGAGAAACCGAGAAGAAATTTCTGCAGAATGACTTGTTGAAATTTGATGTCAAGGATAATTATTTCATCAGTGCTGTTCAGTAGCTGGTTGTCAGAATGAAGTGTTGGTTCAGATGGCGTTAAGAGGGCCTGTTCCATATTTGGACGCCCTATTTGTAGCTGTAAATCCAATGTGATCATATGCTGTTTCATATTTTGTATATTCATGATTGATTCTAGAAAAACGGTAACCAAACGTTAAAGGGAAAACAAACCAGTTGAAGTTTCAGCTCTGTGGGTGTATAATTTGTGCTTCTGAAAAAGCATGTGTGTGTATTTCTATGTATAGAATCAGTGGAAATTTGTTGGCATCATGAGCTAGCCCTGGATTTGGCATCAGGTTGTTACTATGGACACAATAGCACCATAGTGTATTATTCAATTTTAACATCTTGGAACACTGTGGCATGATAAAAAATCTGCCGATTGACAATTTTTTTCCCTTTTAAATGCCAACAAACATGATTTTGGAGGAGGTCTTTTTATTGTTAGATCATTTAATAGGCAAGGATTCTGGTACCTGTAATTATTTAAAAGTATTTGCACTTAAAAAGACATTTCACTTTTCAGCTTCAAATTTTCAAAATTTGTCTGTGTTCATCTGGTTGTCAGTAATGATTGTTCATCTACGTCTGTGGTTACTACCTATCTCCTTGGTGCATTCCTTGGTGCATTCCTTGGTGCTTGGTTCATTGACTATCCAATTGGCGTACATTATTCAAATTACAATAATCAAAAGAGCGACATGATTTTTTCAAGACATTTTTGCTGACTCAAGCTAGAAATGATAATAGGCTCTGTATTACTAAGTATTGTACATTATCCAGTTGAAATTACTTTTTTATGGCAGGCCTTTATCCTTGGTAGATCTGTAATAATCTGAACAACAGTTGATCCATGTATTGAAAAGGAAAAATCCAAGGATTATCACTTGTGTTCATTTGGCACATAAATTCTGAGCCTCAATATATAAAAAAATGCAATCACCATAAACCTGTTGTACATGGTCATCTAAAGAATTGGACCAGGACAGTTTGACTGACACAAAGAACTCTACCTACCTGTCTGTATGTCCATCACATTAACAGCTGATGAATCTGTCGGCTCCCCAACGCCTGTCACATAAAAAAAAACATTTTAATGACTTCCTCTCCTTGTCTGAGTTGCCACGGAAACCATGTGATCCCTTTGTTCCAAGGGGAAACTGCCAAGAGCTCCATGTGCTACTCATAATCCTGAAGGACGACTTGGGAGAGATAAAAAGGAGAGCAAGCTAGGGGGATGATTTTTTAAAGGGTTCCGTTGTCCTTGTGAAGTTTGATTTGTTGACGCATGAGGGTTGCCACCCAGAAAAAGACAGGGGTGTTAGAAGTACTTAAAAGTTGTTCCCCCATACTCCTCAACAATTTGGATTGCATATTTTAACAAAATAAAAACCATAAATCTATTGTGGGCATTTGAAACCCTCAGAAAAACATTTTCATTTTTCATATAGACTACATTTCATAAATACATTTGACATTGCTCATTGTATCTTTCAAACTTTTCAAAATAATGAATATACATATCTTGCTCGTAAAACTATTCATCTTCCTGAATGTCGAGGAAACATCTTGAAATCTTAACTATTGAAACAATGAGCTTGATGTATAAATCTGTTACAATGGTAGCATTCAATCCCTTTAAATATTGAGCAAGGAGCAGATTATTTTTGAGGGGTAGAGAGTGGCATCCTTGGTCCATTCATTGCATGAGAAGCCTTGGTGATGATGTATGGATTTAACTGGCATGCTGGAAGCAGTCCCATTTGTTTCAAAAGTCTGACAGTTGATCGGAAAGACAACAAACATTTATCACTTGGCTCTGCTTTTTACTGATATACAAAGCATGTTTCAAATTCTATAAAGAATCTGTATATTACAAAAACAGCTCCTAGATCAATGTAACAACATTTAAGTTTAAGTTACACACCACGCAATGCGAATCTCTGTTTTGACAGGAGGTCCCTCCACCATTCAAGAGCCAGTGTAAAAAACAAACTGTTTCTGGTAATTATCTGGATATTTCAAAACGAAGCCTTTGAAACCAAAATTAGAATATACAAATATGTTTCCTGGAATGGGCATAACTCTTGGTCCTCTTGAAGAAAAATGTGAATTTGGTCCTCTTGAAGAGAAATGTGAATAAATGAAATGCTTGGAACTTCTTTAGTCAATACTTCTTTTTACCTTGAAGAGCTGGTAAGATTATTAGCAGTGCAACGTTGACTGAATATGGCACATTTGTTTGAATTGTTAACTGTACAGGTCCTGCCCTTTCTTGCGCTGGGGGTCGGCGTTGATGACATGTTTCTGCTGGCACACTCTTCTACCTCCATTCCCAGTCAAGTTCCACTTGTGGTAAGTGCCCCTTCAGGATTTATAAAATCTAAAATGTAAATCTTAATTTTCATTCACTCAATTTGAATTATTAAGGTTCGAAGGTAATTTTTATGTGAAGTTAATTGATTGATTGTTTGATCGAAAACAAGTTTTGCATTTAAGAATACTTAAACCACTTCGCGCTGTGATTTTTTTTGCGATTATTTTGTTTTTTGCAAAAAGGCAAAATTTTCCAGTCAACTTCTGATATACAGCCAAACGCAACAAACACTGATTCGCAAGAGTCATTTCAACAGTATTTGTACGATATTTCTTATGCCGAAACCTCATATGTTTCAATACTCCGGGTGTGCACTGGAGCGTAAATTGTACAACAATAGGCTTTGCACAATGGCCAATTCAAGATCAACACACGGTCCGCCTCCACAGTCTTCACTGACTTTGTGTGTGTGTGTACAAAAGGCACGAGGGATTAGCGTGTTTAGACGTCACCCGAAGGCGAGTCAAGGCAATCTTGACGTCTTAACCCTTCAGCCGTGCCTGTGTATAAAAACAGCCAGTGCGTGTTATCACGTCCACCGACGCGAACTGGTTAAGGGAGAAATAATTATTAACAAGAAAAACGTGAAATAAAAATGGAGAAAAAAATACGTGACAGCTTTTTTTGTAAAGGCTGCAGCAGAAAACTTCTGTACTCCAACCCAAGTGATTAAAATAATATATATTCCCAATGGGACACATTTCATTCAGCTGTCATCAAAAACTAACTAAGTTATTCGTTAAAGTAAAAGGCCATAGCTGAACACTTGGAATTCCTGAATCCCACACAAAACTTCAAAAGCTAGGAATACCAGTGACTGATATTGGACAGGTCGCCCTGAAGTATGGCTAACATAAACACACCCCATTCACAAGCTGGGAAGATCCGGAGTTCCAATTTACGCCTCCAGAAAATAAAGAGGGGGCGTAATTTATGGCCCGGGTAGCACATCCAAAGTCAACCGTGCAATGATTTCTCGGTGAGTAGAGGATAGCACCCTCAATGCTTGGGAGTTTTGTAAGAGGGTGATTTCGAAATTTACAGCTCTGTTGGGATCAGAAGCCGTCAACCCTGCTTTAAAGGCCAAGGTGAAAAAATGTGTCACGCAATGGTTTATTTCAAAGGGGTACTGTCGGGACAAAATGTGTTTGATGGGCGCATTACACATAAAATGTGGGTCAAGACAACTGAGACTGGTAGTCACAATTGAATTAAGCAATTAATTCCAGCACCGCCCCAAAGCGCCCTGCCTGTTAATACTCAGACTGCTCCCAAACGGCCCGGCATTGTATGGTTTTATGGAGCAATATACATCAAGGAGCAATATTCCTGTTCATTTACAGTTTCGTACTTGTAATTAAATACCAGTTATAACAGGATCTGAACCCTAGACCTGCAGATTATTGTATGAGCTCCATTCACTGATTTTACGTTCTACATTTGTGTACAAATGTAGTTGCTACTTTGTTAAGGATTCTCCGAATAAAAGATATATTTTGAGATGCACCATGACTAGACATAGCGGTATTTCAACCAATCCTTTTTAAAACACATTTGGTGTTTCACAGAAAATGTGAGTAGATGACGAAATCGCCATTACTTTTTGCTAAGATTTGTGTAAACCTAAAAAACACCAAACTGTGGGTTTATGCTGCCATAGGTTCTCAAACTCACACTTTTTCGTGAGAGTAAAACTAGTGGTATAACTTTATAAAAAGGGTTTTATTTTTCTGTGTTACATAAGGCCAGTTCAAACTGGGGGCTAAAGCAAGTTAACGCACTGTGAATTTGCAAAAGTTGAACACGTGTTTCGTGATGACAAATCTGCTTTGCATTGACATCCATATGAAGTATGAACTAACACTTACTCCAGAAAAACAGAGATCTGTGATAAAAGTGATAAATGGTGGAGATTGAGCACTAGTGAATGACTGTTGGGGATGTTCCTTTAATGCTAGCTGTACCTACATGGCATGTTGGCTCCTTGCCACATATTGGCCCGTGTGTGGTCCTAGGATCAGGAGCCTGCCAATGACATGCATTTTATTGCCAGGGCCATCCTAGAGTTCCCTTAGCCTGGGCAGGCCTCTCTCTCCTTACAGCACTTGGATCCTTCCACAGGCAAAGGCTATGGTTGTTTCAGCAGGTCTAGGGGGGTACAGGCCCCGAGATTCCTTCTATCAGATTATGGTGTGTTTATCTTGGCTCTCCTTGCTCTGCATATGTTGGGGAGTATAGGAACATGACGGCCTGGGGATATACATGTACATGTCATGTGGTGGGAGAGCTGTCCAAAAAGGAGGGAAAATCTGGGCCAGTGGGACTCTGACACAGATAACCAAATCATTGAAGTAGTTTGGATAAAGCACTGTGAGAAATGTTGTTTTTGTGAGGTGATGTGAGGCACTGTGGATGTGTACTCACATTTTTATTACATGGTCCCAGACCAGTTTCTTAAGTTTATTTTCTGATGGAAATTAATTGACTTTAGTATCAACGATACCAGTGTAACAATTAGCTATTTAATATGCAAAATATGGTAATAGGGATATTTGAATAACAGATTTCTAAGGCAAAGTGAAATCCTGCCGATTATTTCGTGGATTTTCCATTTTCTCCCAATTGCACCTGTGCTAAGGGAGCATGAGTATAGTGAAGAGTATTCTCAATTAAAGAAAACGATTTATCATGATGTGCTATTGTTACATAAAAATGGGTAATGACTAGAAAGTCTAAAAAGACTTCTTTTATGGAAGCCCGCTTTAGTTTTGAACGGATGGGAGGGGGGTCCTCAAACAGTGCTTTTCCAGACACGTACCACGCCCGTACTTAGGAGAGATTGCACACCACATTAGTGTAGGAAAACAACACCCACAATATTGAACTAACCTTTGACCCTGCAAGAATGAAAAGGAGCCGCCACCCAAGTTCCCGCCAGCTCCCATCACAAAAAAACCCTCTCCTCAGGATCGGATCTTAAGATATCAGGGATCTCCCGAAACTAAAGAGGACAGAGAGGTGATTGTGTGTTGCTGGAGACAGCTGAGTCAATACTGGGCTGTAAGACCCCCTTTGATCACTCTAAACGGCGTGTCAGGTTTAATTTGGACGAGTTTTTTCCTTAATGGTAGACTTGTACTTGGAAGCAAGGTTAAACTTCGAAAGCGTTTTTTTTATATCCAATGGAGTAATACTCAAGTCTTGCATGATGGCACTTTCTGCCTGGTTCTTGTTGCAGAGGGGTACGAAGATGTATTCTTACTAAATCCGAGGCACCAGACTATTGGGATATGAGATGCTTTTTGTCCATTACCAGTATGGGGTTATCAAGATTTCATGAATGTGAATTCTAATGATGCTTATTATCAGGCGACTTTGACTGTTGTTAGACCTACATTGTTAACACTTTCGCTTTTCCTGTGCAATATCTGTCAAATTCAAAACTGCCAAGTCAAAATACATGTAGTCAACTCTGTCTTCCACTCTGGTCAAACCAACCATATTTGGCCATTTTTGGTCATGACCACTCCCACCCTGAATTTCACTTGACATTATGCCCCACCTTCCATCATGTTTTTCTTGAGTGAAAGAAACAAGGAGGCCACTCTATCCATAAAAGAATGTCTAGACTTTTTCAGGACAGGTGGAACATGTACATGTACATACTATGCCCATGCATTTTCCTCAGCTGAAGTACATAACCCTACATACTTTATGGGGCAGGGAGATGAATGAAAGCTCCTGTTATGTAACTGGTAATCCAGAACAGATGGCTAGTGTTCCTGTGGGGGAGGGCTGGGGATCAAGTTTCAGGCATAATGGTAGTTAATGGATAAAGGAAACCCTTTTCATGGGCATTTGGGCTACCTACAGGAAGTAATTATAGGAGCCAAAACTACAACATAAAAGTTGTGTTTGTTTGCTTTTCTTACCAACTTTTAACAGGGAGTAACATTAACTCCAGAAGAAATGAGGATGAAAGGAATTTTCGTCCAATGGGAACATGGTTTTAATACATTAATGTGAACTAGAGCAATGAAAATCCCTGTGACAGTACTGATGGTTGAATTTACTATGGAGCTCTCTAATGATAGAGAAAGAATTTGTTTGGCCACATTTTTTTGCCAAGCTTTAATCAGTAACTCCTTCTGTTCCGTGCTCTGTAGACGGACAAAGTCCAGATATCACCCAATTTGCGTGCTTTTCAAACTTTTACATGTGTTGCAATTCTTAGGTAAATAGATGCTTAGACTAGAGACTTAAAGACTAGATGGTTTGAATCTGAATTCTTGTTAGCAGACCTTTATTTTTATGACTGCTTGGCCGCAGAAATGCTCACTTTTTTCCTTAAGATTGCTGAACATCCAACAACATTTTTTTTTTGGGGGGGGGGGAAGCAATTATCTATGCTGAGATAAAAAGTCTGTCATTATTGGGCCCCGACATGCATTTTCTTGTTCTCAGAGTGAAGACAATCAGTAATAAGCTGCACAAATTAAACAAAAGTCAGGGCACACCACTAACACTGCACAATTGAACAAAACTAAAAAAAATTCTTGATGAATTGCACATTGCCCAATCCCGATCGATCGCACACTTCTCAAACCCCACTCGGTTCTTATTATGTTGTACCCGGGGTCTGTCCCAGCGATTCGGGAAAACACGGAGGGGAATAAATAGGCTCTAAATTAAGTTAACCCCAACTCATTTGCAGAGACCTCTGGTGTTGTTCGTGTACAGGGACCATACTGTGGTGTGGGGTTGGCAGCAGAAAACCTCTCTCTTTTTTGTTCACCGTGTCTGCATTTTTCGGCACGAAAAGGAAAACCACAAGAGTTCAGGGAGAACTGATTTCCGTAGTTGAACGGCCCTGTCCAATCTTTGGGTGTATCAGTAGTTGAACGGCCCTGTGCAATCTTTTGGTGTATCAATCAACTTTGATGGTAGTCATGGGCTGGTTTCTTATTGGAGTTTCGTTTTCAAAGTTTTAATCCTGGCATGGGTTGGGTTGGGGCGATCACCAATATGTGAAAAGTTTTCAAAAGTGATTAAAGTCAATAATGAATCTGTTTATTATTTGTAATTCAAACTGATGTAGAAATCCCAATTCCTGCTCCTCAGAAAAAAACAGTATTCATATTTGGTTGTTTTGTACTTTTGGGTGACGCAAAAGAAAAAGTTGTGTTGTCTTTCCAAAAGAAAAATATTTTTAATAAAGGACAGAATTTCATAGCTTTCGCTCCAGACAAACAACTAATTTTTCGAAATGGCCTGATGTTTGAGTAACTGACCTCCCAGCTTTCACATATCTTTTGCACCACCAGCTATCGTTTGTTTACGCAAGATGGAAGCCAGTTCTTCTAAATATTTGTGTCCTGTCTGTCCAGCCCCTGACAGAGTCGGCCTGACAGAGTCATTCTCTGAGCCCTAGACCCTACCCTGGCCGGCACATGGAAACATGCTGCATTGCACAAACCAGCCTTTTACTTGTTTATTATTTCAAGCCTGCTAGCAGTGACAGCTGGGGGCCTTGTGTCTTTTTTCCCTCCTTTTTTTGAGCAGGAATGTCTAGACCCTTCAGTCCTGATAAATTAGTCTGGTTCCCTGGGTTTTTCTTGTTTCATGTATTCCTGGAGTAAAGAGTAAGGAAATCAAATCGTCCTTTTTAGGGGCTCTTTTTACTGCTTCTGTTAATACAGGCATGGTTAAGCATCTGTAATCTGTGTATTTTTCTTAAGATATTTAAAGGCCTTGTTAAAAATTGTGTAAATTGTCAAGATTTTGTAATTACTAGTACAGTCATCACCAACTTGATTTTATACTAACTTATCCTTGGATGACGTTGTATCTTTATATTTTGCATAGTAATACTAATAACAATGTGCTAAAAGGATTCATGGAAACGTTCTGTATTTCGCTTGAGTCACGTAGGGTCATTTTTCATTATCCCAAAGGTCATGCATAGTTTATCACTGTTTTCTCGAAAAGTGTGATATCCTCTGAGCTGATATATGAACAGGTTGGGTTTTTAGCATTTTTCTTTGGATTTTGAGTGGTGTTATTATAGGAAACGAAACATTCATGAAATGAAAATGATCCTATGTACCTTTACAGCATCAACTAGTGGCATTATTTATATTGTAAAATGGTATATTTGACAGGGGTGGTTTTGAACCTGTGGCCTTTTGATCAACTTCTCGTTTCAGTTTTTTTTTTGCAGATTTGATCAAAGTCATTCCTCAGGCTCAGCAATACCAGAATTTTTCCAAAAAATGTTTTTGATGAAATTTCAAATGTCTTTTCATGTTCAGAATCAGATATAATATATCTCTCAGTGGCATTTGTTCACAGTCTTGTTAGCCTCTGAGCCATAGCCAGTATTAAGTGTCCTTGACTTCTAGTTAATCTTTGGGGCAACTCTTAAATGCCTAGGGACATGAAACTGTACCAGATCCAATGGGAGGCAAAAATAGTTGACTTTTGGGCGACCTCTCCCCCCCCCCCCAAAAAAAAAAGGAAAAAGAAATTTACCAAATCACCATGTCATAGGCTTTATGCACATCCATGGCAAAGTAATCCTCAGAGCATACACCGAAACACAGATAACTCAGATAACTGTAATCTCAATTCCCCCTTCAAAAATAAATTGTTAAAATTTCCATCATCGACTCAACACACAAGCAGGGACCTCCAAGACCCTTAACACAGAGCCCAGAAATTGCTGGCATAAATAACTGGGTCAGGGTGGTATACAGTGTCAGGTTAGCTGGTGAGCTGGTGGTTTGGTTGGAGGGGGGGGGGGGGTAGGGATATTCATGTTATGGAATCCGAGATGCTTGCTGGGGCCATGGTGTAGGGCCACAACCAGTTGGTGGTCCATGGTCCCTTTGGCCTGATGTACAAGTAGTGGAAACCAAACCAACCTGCCAGGCTGGGTGTTGACACAATTACAGCTTTTTTTTTCTGCAGATTGTAATTTGTGAACATGTGCATGTGTTGCAAGAAGGCTGTGGTATAATGTGGGGGGGGGGGGGGGGGGGGGGGGAAAGAGATGTATGCTAACTGTGCTGTGCTATAGACCCTGTGCATTGAAGCCATCATTGAGGTGCATGCTTTTCTTCCTATTTACCTATCACGGCAGAATCGCGTCAACGCAAATTGTGTGAATTGTCCAATTACAAGATGTACAAATTGACACGGAACGCGTAAAATCTGAGACAAACCAATTTAATGTACAAAATTACATTGTCTAAGGGGCGTGGCTAACTCGCAAACGGCGATAAGTCAATCGGTTGGGCATGAGTAGACCTCTTGTACTTTCATTGTCTCTGAATTGAAATCACATAGAAATGCCTCAAAGATGTCTGCTAAATGGGAAGGGTCTAGTTACAAAACATGCAGAAACATCTGCATTGAGACAATTGTACTTTTTCTGAAATAACATTGTAGACAAAACTTAATATAGTAAGGTGAATGTGATACACTTTTACCCCATGATTCAGACATACAACTTTTCCCTGGATCAGATGATTTTCTCTCTTTAAGCTGTTTTGTATGCCATTTAAAAAATAGAAACACACTGCTGAGAGTCTTGTAACTTTATTGTGAAGCTTCCTATTTTGTGCAACTTCCGAGATGCACACATGTTGATTCAGGAGGCCTGTATGAATCTTGCACAACTTTGCCAAACCTTGTCTTTAGTTTTCTAAAGATATAAATAAACAGTATGAAAATTACTAAAGAAATCTCTAATTTGACTCTTAATGATTTTTCTTATTTTGCAGTATAAAACGGGTGAGATTTTGCGTCGGTCTGGTGTCAGCGTTTTCCTGACGTCCATCAACAACATGTGTGCCTTTCTTCTTGCAGCTGTTATTCCTATTCCCGCTCTGCGGTCCCTCTCACTTCAAGTAAGTCCATGGTTCCAGGTTCCAATCCACACTAAGACCCTGACAATGAAATTACAGTCGGACATCAGACCTTTACTGACCATTTTCTATGTTGTTCTGAACAATTTATAAAATTGTATCACATTCTAACTTGGTTGTTGTAGATCATATTGTCTGAGCTATTTTTTGGCTTATGTCATCAGAGATGTCAAGGCACTTCAGAGAAATTTTATTTAAGTGGCCATGCTTAAGTTTTATCATAATAATTATGCACATTTGTAACAATCCAAGCCAAAGTTAGTAGTTTAACAGGTTTCTCAAGGACAAATGCTCCAAAGGAATAATAGATATACAAACCAACATTCCACTGATTGCAACAATTTCAATTCTTACACTATAACATTTTGCCTATTTGAAGTTTTGCTATCTGCAGTTATTTTACTTTTCAGATTGCAATAGTTTTTTTTCGGTTTCTAGCTGTTGTATTTTGCAGTCGTTGAACAGGTTTTAAACCTATCTTGTTTTGTTTATTCCAGTTTGCAATAGTAATAGTATTCAACTTCCTGGCCATTGTGTTAGTGTTCCCTGCCATCCTGGCATTAGACATCAAGAGACGAGAGTCTAAACGGGTAGATATCTTCTGCTGTTTAACAAACAGGTGAGATTATCATCTTTTTTGTCGACTTTCACTCGACCGAAGTGTACATTCTTGTAACTGGAAAGTTTGTTTTAGTTTGGATGGAGTCATTGGTGCTTTGTGGTAATTGATTAAGGGGCAACACTTTTGGGTTGCTTGGTGGAAGCTCAAAATGAAACTAGGATTACTGACTAAAAAGCACAGCTCGCTTGGAAGAAAAATTAATGGTAAATCTATAAAAATGAAAGGAATTGTCGGAGGATAACTTCCAACTTAGCCTGAATTAGCCAAGGAGTGACACTTTAATATTTCATTCGCTTTGTTCATGGAGAATGGGATTGGTGCAAAGCAGAGCTGAACTTTGCTCTTAACCTTACAACCCCAAAACATTCTCACTGGCTGTATTTATGTGATTGTTGTCCATAGTCCAAGTGCAAATAGGGTAATCCGGGTCCAGCCTAGACCGGCTGATACCAGACAGCCATTGCCGCGACAGACGGAGGTCCGGCTACAGTCGACGGTACAAGCCGTCACGCAGACAGCGCCCTCACATGGTGAGCGTCCGTACGTCACCGTGGTGCACCCATCGTCGGTGACCACCACGGAGGGGATCACGCCGGTGGTTGAAACGCCTCCTTCCACGGCGGCCTCTACCGCCTCCACCAGAACTCTGATCAGGCAGAACTCGTTTGAGCGTGAGCGGCCGAGTCTGAGGGAGCGGTTCCGCAAGGTGACGTGTTGGAGATGGAGCTTGTCTGGGTTTGCACGGGGATACTATGCACCCTTCCTGCAGAAGTTACAAGTAAAGGTGAGAAGAGAGATCACTTGTTTGAAAAAAAAAATAGTTTATACTTTTGCTCAAATTTGTCAACACTAGGATTAAAACAAGTTTATAAAGTACTGATGAATTATCTGACGGTATTGAAGCTCAAGGGTATACCTTAGTACTACCCTTGCTCGTCCAGCTAAGAAAACTTCCTAACAAGATCCTTTTAAATCTCAGCTCATCAGAGAGTATACTGTTTAATGCTGACTTTTAACATTTTAACAAAGCTCAGTTCCATAGTTGATTATAAGAAAAAGTGATAGTATTGTATCCTTACATGACTTGGTTTGATACATGATCTTATTAAATATTTCTCCTGAAAATACTTGGGCAAGCAGACCTCCCAACATGCACTGATAGGAAGCACAACTACATCAAAAACGTTGATGCTAACCCCCTGAACTGGAAAAATATAGAACTTCATTGAATCCAGGTTTATATTCGTAATCCATAAACATACCTATTTGACAAAGACATTTCTCTTGTGTCTCATGTACAGGTCTGCGTGCTTGTATTCTTTGCGTGCCTGCTCGGGCTCAGCATTTACGGCGTGACCCAAATCGAGGACGGACTGGAAATCACGGACATAGTCCCCAGAGGAACGCGGGAGGAAGAATTCCTGGAGGCCCAGATGAAGTACTTCAGCTTTTACAACATGTACGGTGTAACGCAGGAGGACTTTGACTATGCTAACAAGCAGCGGTTACTCCACGCGTACCATACAGAGTTCCGTAACATCGAGCAGGTGATACGGGAGCCTGACGGTTCTCTGCCGTCCTTTTGGCTGATCACATTCAGGGATTGGCTACTTGGTGAGTAGGATGTTCCATAAAAGAGGCTGAAATTTCTGTTGGAAATCGGACATTTACGACGTTTGTCTAAACAACATTTGTACCTAACCAGTTCACGTTGGATGAAGGTTTTGCGGTATTCGGAACGGATGACGGATAAACACCCAACGAGAGAGGCCGGAAATATCCGTCTTTGACCCGCTCGCAGTGAGCGAGGCCGTAAATATCAGAGTGTGCTACCCGCAGATGATCGCCTGAACCCATCTGGCATCGAGATTCAAGAAAAACAATCCCGCGTCTGGGTCCGATCAATGTCAAAATATTCCCGGCACGAAGTGCTCGAAATTCGTTGTGCTGTGCCATTTTTGTCAAGCATTTTCTGTGGCTTATGTTACCCTCTGCATTGAATTGAATAGTAATCAATTGTCGAGCCTACGTGTCTTTTTACCTGCTGTTATTGTGAATAGTTTTCTCAGTGAAATTTCTCTTAATTTACTATCAAAGACTTTGCCTCCTTTGGCAATTGAATTCTTGTCAAATAAATAGAGTAATTCCTGTGAGTGGCTTTAAGAATGTTTAGAGATTGGGAATAATTTCACTACTTTTAAAATCTGGTGACTCTTTATTACAGAAATGCAAAGAGAGTTTGACAGGGACAAGAAAGGTAACGCCATTATCCTGAACAACTGGTACAACAATGCATCTGAGAAGGGAGTACTAGCCTACAAGATGCTGATCCAGACGGGTATTCCTGAACGACCCATTGATTTCAATAGGGTAGGTATGGACAGGGGTAGTGGACAGATTAAAACCAACACTTTACCCATTAAAGTTAAGAATTTGATGTGCCCAGTTTATGAAGTAACAAGTGTTACCAAACTTGTCATTCCCATTTAACTTTTCAAAACTTGTTTGGAGTATGGGTTATTCTGTAAATTTGGAGTCCACTGTGTGACATTTGTCCTGTTCCTCTTATCTGGGTACTTTTTAATATCGCCATTCAGGTATCATTAAGAATGACTTCAAATGATATTTTATTTGTTGGGAAGGTAATTTGCTATTCAAATTTTACTCTTGGATGACGACTGCATGAAGGAGTGCATCAGAATTATAAAATCATAGATTTCAGATGTAAGAGGGAGAAGTGAAAAAAGTGGACCCTAAATTTACAGAATGAGCCATGTTTAAGACAGACATTACTTTGTAAAGCCGAAAATTATCATTGTAGTCTGCACTTTATCTTCAGTTTGTCTCGGAGCGTCTTGTTGACGATCACGGTGTCATCAATCCCGATGGATTCTATAACTACCTGACAGTCTGGTGCAACTACGACACGTGGTCCTATTCCGCCTCCCAAGCCATGCTGCACCCTGCCCCCGCGCAGTGGACACCAGGCGGGAAAACAGACAGGGATGTAACAAGTAAGTTAACAGTTCTGAAATTAGTTTCTTAAGTTGGACTTTCGACATGGTGAAAAAGTGTCGAGTTCTGGGGGTTGTTGTGGTGGAACTTTCTCACTTCTACAAAGCGGTTTTTGCTTCAGTCTTGTTGAAATTATGGAAAGGTTTGCTTTGTTCTTGCTGTGGCTGGCAGTAATACATTTATCCATGGGACGTAGATTTGGCTGCTTCTATAGGTGCGTGTGTTGTCGTCTGAGGAAATCAGTCATGTTGAAGCAGTGTACATGCCTAGATCAAACTTATCCATCTTCAGAATGACTGGCTTACGTTATTTCATTTACGTGATTCCTCCCTCAGTTCCCCGATCGAGTCCCCTGAACTACACCCAGCTGCCCTTCTATCTCAACAACCTCCGGGACACGCAGGATTTCATCAGCGTGGTCAGGAACGTCCGCAACCTCTCGGAGTACTTCGTGGAGCAAGGCTTGCCCAACTATCCCATGGGTGTGCCCTTCACCTTCTGGGAGCAGTACTTGGACCTACGGTTCTACCTGGCGCTGTCGCTGGTCAGCGTGCTTGGGGCGAGCTTCCTAGTCATGACGGTCACGCTGGCTAACCCCTGGGCTGCACTCATACTGGTGAGTTTGGGATTAGATTCTTTCGTATCATTTGGTTGTTTTTGCAAATGGTCGTGATTCTCAATTGGGGAGCAAGCTGTCTGTCACATTGTAGACAATATTGCATACAAAAGCTAGTTCTGATGCTTCGTTTATCAGAAATGTGAGAAAAAAAGTGTAGCCATAAATTTGAGTATGTAACATAAGCTGAATATCTAGGATTGTGATTGATTCTGTAAAGGAATGCCTTTGCTAAAGTTCAGTGAAATAGCTGGCAACTTTTAACGTGAACCAGACAACTTGTGATTGACTTGTGATAACTTGACTATCTAAATACGTGAATGTATTTGAATATCGGAATTGATTTCTGATTGATGTCCTTTTTTTTTTACGAAGGTCTGCATTCTTGGGATGATCACCACAGAGTTGTTTGGATTCATGGGATTGCTTGGGATCAAACTCAGTGCGATTCCGGCTGTAACGCTCATCATATCGGTTGGCATTGGAGTGGAGTTTACTCTGCACACCTGCTACGTGAGTACCAGTGAAAAAAACCCCACATGTCCCTTGACAGTGGTTCTACTGGAAATGTTTGATCAACTTTAAGCATTTAAAAAAAGGAAAGTGATTTTTAACAAAACTGTCATTGTTCAAACTGAGATCGTCCATTGTTTTACATTCTCATCATGCAAAGTACCAACTTAAGGCACGCCAGAATTAATATTTCCGAATGCCAAAAATGAAGTGAAAAATACCTTCTTCCATTAATTCTGATTTTTTTTTTTATAAAAGCTGGTTATTGGTTGCACCACGCGACATAAAATATATTTTGTGGGTTTGTGAGGTTATGTAAAGAACCGGTGGAAACATGTTTTGGACAGTATGCTGTGCCTGTTGAACCGATTTAGATCTTGCTGTACATCTTAGATAATGACTTGAAAAAGTCTGAGGCTAGCTTGTTGGCAATGTTAAATCCCAGCTGAGGTTGAGTGGCAATCTCTTTTCTCCTCTTCTTTATCGTCTCATTTTTGTTTCTCATTAACCTTCTAGGCTTTCCTGACGACAATTGGTGATCGTAACAAGCGTGTTACTATGGCGCTGGGGCACACGTTCTCGCCGGTCGTTGATGGCGCTCTGTCTACCCTGCTCGGCGTGGTCATGCTGGCTGGCTCGGAGTTTGATTTCATCGTCAGGTGAGATCCCCCCCCCCCCAAAAAAAAAACCCTCTCAATTATTGCAATGCATTTTGTGTCTTTGAAAGCAGTTGTTGGATTAATGACAAACGGAAATGAAAAGCTGGCTGAGATTAAATTCTTGCCCAATAATTGTATTAGTGTTTTTCAGTGGTTGATCGTGCCCATTAACTAATTATGCTGCCAACACGTGTTCCCTCAAAAATCATTGATATTTGGTTTAATACTTAAAAACAAGATCATTCAAATGGATCACTCTCAGACTGTGTTACGATTGATCACATTTTCTTTTGGGGAGGGGGAGGGGGTGTTGCTGTCTTTTTTGGGTGGGGGGGGGGGGGGTAGGGCGTCTTTTTGGGGGTGTACAATTTTGGCAGTTGCAAAGTCAGCTTCAGCTTTAATACTAAATTTCACTGAAGGCTCAGATAGTTATTATTTTTTTGGGGGAGGGGAAGGGAATAGGGAGTAACTTAGGTTCTTAAGAATTTTTGAGAATGATTTGTGAAAAATCATTTTTCAAAGTGGATTCATATAAATGTTGGGGGTTCGATTGTGGTTTGTTTGTTTTACGATATCCAGGGTAACCATCCAATACTCTCCCTCAAACATGTTTATGTATAAACAGCTAAAAACAGAATTAGAACCAACTTTTAATTTGGGGAAAAAAGTTAATAACAATCCATCAAGGTTTGCAATAAGTCTGGCCAGCCTGTCATTACTAGACCCATGAAAAATAGGAAGTGGTTTTGGTGTTTGCTGGGGCACCCTGGACTGCTGACACCCCTGCTCTGTCAACACACGACCTCAGCTGTGACCTCTGACCTAGATTCTTGCAGGTCGTCGTCACCAGGGAAAACCTTACATGTAGCCATGGTTGCTCCCTTGGTCTTAGCACCTCGCTTTGTTCAGTAAAATGCAGAGGTTATTGGAAGAATTTTACTCTTTTTCAAATCAAAATTGTTTTGAATATGGAGCTGTTTGTGTTAAGAATGGAGGGTCTTTGTTTTTGTGATGTGACAAGGATACATTTGGAACGCTCATATATTTATTGAGACTCTACTTTTGTTTGATACATAAACTCAAACAGCTACAATTTCTACAACCAATCCTAAGCATTCACTTTCATGTAATTTTTACCAATACAATAGAACATTTTAGGTTTTCCATACTGTAGCTCATCTAGAAAAACCAGAAGGGTTTAACTATTAAAGTGAAGGAAGTCATGTTCTATTCTTGGCTGTTGATATTCCACTCTCCGTAAGCCTCCAGGGAACATGTGCTTTTTATAGCACATCCTCTGGTGGTGATATGCTGATCATGTTACAACAGTAATAACTTGATCTCAGGCTAGGCTTTCACCATGCATTAACTGGCATGTATGTGATATTTTTAGACAGGTTGTACACAACATCATTTTTAAAGACTAGAGTTCGGATGATTGATTGTTCATGTTGGAAATTTAAACATGAATGTTGTTTTTTTGTAAGCCACAGAATTTATGCGCAGACCACTGAAGGTTATCCACTGTGTGCCAAGTTCTTAGGTTCATGGTCATACGCTTGGGAGCTGACCATATTTTTTCTCTGTCACTTTGGACATTGAATTGAGTTCTTGGGTGGTCAGCTTGTTGACATGCCAGCACTTCATTAAAGTAATTTGTCACACCATGGTTACCAGTGGGGAGATTGCAAACTTTCCTAATCTATAGGTATTTATAACTCACTGAGTTCAAGGAAAACATTCCATGCATTACCAATGCTGGAACATTTTTAAGACTTTTGATAAGTAATGTATTGCTTAAAAGCATAAGAATCTATGAGGATATTTGAGGCGGCAGTTTCTTCCCCTGTGGGAACTTTGTTGGGTGGTGCACCCCCAGAAATTGGAATGGACCGGTCTGAAAGGGACTTTGTTTATGCAGCTGTCAGTGGTAGTGACCACTGATAGCAAGTTTGCCAGGGGGTGTCCTTTCCCTACCACATTCCCCTGTCAGAAAACATTTGGCAGATTGCACTTGTGTTTATTCTGCCTGATTCCTCTTGTTATTTGTGCAAGCAGAAAAAAACCAGAGGCACGTAGTAGGGTTGCTCTGAATAAAAAAAACTTGCTTGGAATTATAAGAAATTATTTGGTGTGCGGCAAGTTAATCTTCAAGTATGTGTTGCTTTCAGAATTTTAAGCTTGCAGCAATGCAATCATAGATTTTTGTTTAAAAATGTTGAAAAGAAAAAAAGATATTGAACACGTTAGAGAAATCTGATAAAAGTGAGTTCACAGTTTCTGGACATCTGTGGTTGCATGTGACTCCAACTTCAATTTGTTACAAACTCTGGCAAGATGTTTAGGTTACCCAGAAGGAATTACAGCCGCCAGTAAATACTGCCACCACCAAACCAAATAAATCCCCAGTCACTGCTGGTCCAAAGCAAGGTGAAATCTGTCTAAATATTTATAGCAACATTCCACAATCCTGTAGCTCAGGGGACATTGATCTACAGCCTGGCTATCTATTTTCCTTTTCTTCCCCTAACCCCCCCCCCCCCTCTTCCAAAGTTTTGTCTTCATCCTTTTTTTTCTTCTTCTCTTGGCCTGGAGCTAGTGTCACGCACCTTGATCAATCATGTGTCTGTGGCTGTGTCATCCTTTCTATTTATTTGTCCTTACCCACCAGAACTTTGGTTCAAAAAAAGACTCAAGTGTTTGTGTTGGAGTGCTTGAGGGCCAGTAGTATTTTACCAGACCAGTGCGTTTATCTGATAAAAAAGTGCCGGATTTGATTTATTCCGTGCCGTCTCAATATTTAGAAAAGCTTGGTTTTGTTTGCTTCTGGTGTTGTATCTTTCAAACCAAGTGTTTTACCACAGGCAAAGTTGATATATATCTCCCAGAATGTGTCATTTGAAGGCTGTGAATTAAGCAAGATTCTTAGAGAGACATAATTTAGTTGGTAATCATTTGTAAATAGAGATGAATTCTTTTCTCCATGTTTTTATCCGCACAAATCGAGGTTGAGAAAATCGAGGTTGAGAATACACTTTGGAAATCACTGCTTAAAATTTCAGTGAAATCATTCTGAACTTTTTGACTCAATCCATTTATCCTCTGTCCTGTCCACCTGCCCTTCTTGGCCCACCTGTCTCAATGACTTCAGATGGAAGGTCTTTTTTTTTTTACCCAGAGTAGAGAGAAAAGTTCAGCTGACCCTAGCTCACCATCCCAAGGAGTGAAAATCCCCGGCAGTCTCTGTCCCTTGCCTACATGGGGTCAATTAAGGCTTCACCATAGGGGTTGGCTATGGGATAGTCAGGTCCCAACGCCCAACTCTAAGGTGGCTTGGTTGTGCTGAACAGTGTTCAAAGCAAACAACACAAGAGAGAGTGAAAAAAAGCCCTGGCGATGTGGAATGTGCTAGTTACAGGGGGTGCCCACCCTAGGTCCCAACTCAAACTTGTAGATAATATATCTGAATTTTGTCCTCCAATGGATTAGACATTAGAAAAGCATTGGCAAAGACTTTCAACATATATATGGACCAGTATATTATTGTGAGATGCACCTAGATTTTGTTGTACCAAACTTATTATCTTTTGGTTAACGGGAAAAAAAGAACTCATGGTTCATTTTTTTCCTTTCCTTTATTAGCAACTTTTGGAAGCATATGCACTGGTCTTTCACTCTGATCATAAAAAGTGAGAGGACCTAACATTTTGATCCTAGCAGGACCTTTGTCCAAGATCATTAGATTATCAATTTGAGTGCAAAGTTGAAAAGTTTTTTTGACAGTACTTTTACATGATTGGAAAAATCCATGATAGTATCTCATATCTCCCAATGTCTTAATCCTTTCTTTTATACAAATCAAAATCTTTTAAATGCATGACTTGGGAGTTAATGGAGAAATGTTTTGTTGTTGCTTTTCCTGCAGTTATTTCTTCTACGTCTTCACTGCCCTTATTGTCATCGGCACCCTCAATGGACTGGTCCTACTCCCCGTCATCCTGTCATTGGTCGGACCCCCGGCAGAGGTACGCCCACCCAACAACGCTACTAGACTGACCACGCCCACCCCACCACCCACCCCACCGGTGGAGAGGAGCGGGATAGCCATGCAGGGCCACCAGCAGCAGCAACGGTCAGGCAGACGGAGGGGCTGGGAAGGCACGGAGTTTGGTGGCTCGGTGTCGTCGATGGGTGATAGCGCCACCTATAGAGGGTACGGTGGGGAGCACATCGAGGTCCATCCACCGGAGGTGGTGGTGCAGACGTTTGCACGGGAACCGCAAAGACAAGAGGTTGGTCCCATTCTAATCAGAAAGAATTCTGCTTGACTCGTTGAAAATGCTGCTTACTCTTCAAACGGCTGGACATTTTCGGCCTTGTTGTCCATGACAAATTTACTTGATATTTGGCCTTTTTTTATTCATGGTTAGTCAACTTGCAAAAATGTAACCTTATCAGACAGAACATTTAGTAGTCACCGTAATTGATAATGTGCAATAACGGTTAAAATGAGCAATGAAATTATTGTACAGTAAGCTGCATTAAAAAGAAAATTTTTCAAAATTATTTGCCAGAATTTGAAAACATTGGTATCTAAAAAATGCAGAAGACATTGTAGTGGGGGATATTGTTGCCCCGAATCCCTTTTAGGGTTAAAAAATTGAAACGATTTTTACTTTGACTTTACTGCAGCAGCTCGCCGCATTTTCTTTCTGACACTGTAATAAGTGCACAAATAACTCTTTCAAATCAATATCTGCAGTTGTTCTTATGAAAATGTGCTCTCACTTGTTGAAAAGATGTCAACAAGTTTAGAGACAATTTGCTTGAGAATAAAATAAGAATAAAAAGGTTTAATATGTATTTTTATTGGGGGGGGGTGGTGTTCGTACTGAGCAATGCTATATAGGGATTCAATAATTGTATTTATTTCAACTCTTCATCTCTATTTTCTTTTCCTTTTGTTGAAACCACAGTGGAAAGCCCACAGACCTCCCCACCACCAATGGCCGCGATCTTCCAGAATCCACCACCCCAACATGCCGCACTACACATCCTCATCCTCGTCATCACCTAGTCCCTCACCCCAGATGTCACACCATGTGACCACCGTGACAGCAACGGCCAAGGTCTCTATTCTGCACCCGATGTGCGGCGGAGGGGAACGGACAGACAGCTACAAGTACCACAAGAGGCGGAGAGACTGGGAGAAAGGAGGCGGTAGTAATAAGACCAGAGAGATTGAAGACAGAAAGGAGAAGGACAACAGTAGTTCAGACTCTCCTGTGTAAATATTAAGGTAAGAGGAGTTTTTATTTACACCCAGACATGAAGACTAATCCTTGAAATATCAAAGGAAATAAATTGGGAATAAACAAAATTGGGGGGTATAACGTTTTAAACGGTCATGGCAGGACCATTCTCATTGGAAAAATGTCAGTGGTATTGAAACAAACAAATAGGGGACACACAAGCATGCAACGGTTGAAAGAAAAGCAGGGATTAGGCAGGGGGAAGGACATCAAAGGGGATGAAGAGAGGGGATAAGCAGCGGTGGTGGACAACTTTTGAAAGTTGGGGGGCCAAAGTACTGCCATTGTCAGCTGGCGGTTGAAAATTCAAAAGTTGCGGGGGGGGGGGGGGGGGGGGGGGCTCAACATCATTCATTCAGCAGTACGGTGCGCCCTTTTCCAAGAGAACGCTATTGTTGCTATTGTTGGACCCCAAGTGTGTGTGTGTGGTGGGGGGGGGGGGGCAGTGGAAAAAGGGGGGGCCAATGGCCCACTGGCCCTCCCTGTTCCGCCGCCAGTGGGGATAGGGTAGGGGAAGGAACAAAGGGGTGTGGCAGTGGATGAAATATTACATAAGGGGGTAATACGAGGTGATAGTTAGGCAGAGGGAAGGAACAAAGGGGTGTGACAATTGGAAAAGTTCAAATAAACTCGAGTTTAAAATAGGACCATTCTTGCAAACCTTAAAGCTGATTGTCGCTCTGGACTCCATGCACAAGTCCCCCCTTCACCATTAACAAAGGGAGTGTTGGGGAGACCATTGGAAAGGACATTTAAACACATTGCCCATTACACCTGATGCTCACATGAAGATACTACGGATTTTTGCACATTAAGAATCAAACAACTCGTGCATACTTTGCCCGGTACGCCTGCAAACCAGTATGCAATGCAATGTGTCCCTCCCACTAGGGCTTTAGAAAGTGGTCACAAAGTGCCATCGTCTGCTAGTGCGCGGAGCCATTACCATACCTCTCAGGTGTTGTTGGCCAACATAGTGCAATTAAGTTGTTAGTCTGAATCTATGATCAGTTACACAGTTTGCGTGGCTTACCCCGAAGTTCACGTTCTAGAAATCTTATCCCACCTTATCAGAAACTTACAGAAATCTCTAACCTTGTCTTCCATTTTCTTTGCAGTTATTTTCTGTGGCCACTGTGTGAACACAGCTTTCGAGGGTGAATTAAGAAAACGCCCGAGCCTACGCGGTCAACCTGTGACACACCCACAACATGAGCCACTTGACTCTATCGAACACTGCCAAGGTGCCAGCAGTAGCAGGAACCCTGTACAGATTATGTTTTACATACTTTGGAGTGTAAAGATTCTATGAATATTTATTTATGCTAATGAAGCAAGTTAACCGTACCCTTATCGTATTAATAATAAAAAACAAGCCCGCATAACAGTGGGTTATTTGTGTATATTACAAATAAGCGTTTGTATGTATTGGCACCCAGGTAATGCTGTCCAGTATAGCCGGCTTTACTGTGGTTTGCAAACTCTCTATATATATAAAAAACTATAAATAGTCAAATTATGTGTTTGTCGCGAAGGATCTTTGTGTTTTATAATTATTATATTATTTTATAAGACTCAGTAACTTTTTTGCCAAGTTGTAAGTAAAAATAAAACATTGTATAGGATTATTATTGTATATACTGAAGCCATGGCTGGGACTAGAGGATTTTTTATTGTATTCCTGGATGTTCCAGGTAATGTGTTTTTAATATTCTAAAATAGATAATGCTTTAGCTTTTATCTACTATTTTCTTTTCATTCGACAAGTAATAGCACTCCATGCTTTGGTTGGGTGCATTTTTATTGGAAGTTACTGGAACACCCAAAGGTGCTGTAAAAATAACAAAACAGTTTTTGTCACCGAAAGTAACACTGCCTGATTGTATCAGATACCCTCAGTATTTGACAGAACACAGGTTTTTTCAAAAAAAGAAAAATTATTGAAACTTTTTGTGTGTGGAATTTAATACATACATTTATGTATGAAGATAATAAGCAGTTGTTTATTAGGGTTGGTCTGGTTCCATTTGTGTTTGAACCAGACATCACTTATTTATCGGATTTCCTTTAAAGCATTACGTTTTTTGTCTTGTATAATTTATATCCTACCTCCTGTGAATAGTGGATAGATCTGGCCAACATTTGGCCTTAAGATGCAAGAGGAATGGACCATTACTACATGGGGGTGTGTTTTTATTGCCAAAATATTGAAAACCTCTTTTGTATCTATAGTCAGTATTATTTTACATTTGTTAAGAAAAAAGTATGCTAAAATCTGTTGAGGATTTTTTTTTTAACAATCTGTTGTGATATGTTGTCATAGTGAATTCTACAATACAGTTGTATATATATTCATGTACATGTAGAACCCTTTTAAAAACCATTTTCCCAATACCAGGTTAACTGTATCTGTTATCAAGCGAACATAGTCTGTTCTTGGAACTCATTACTGAATATCATCTTTTCTCTGCTGCCATGTGTTGAAAAACATAAAGATTTTGATGTCCCCGTCTTTAACTTGACTATTCCTACCGCAGAATCCACTTCTGCCACTGCTCACGTGAAAGTTTTCAGAGTATCTGCCAATGCATAAGAATAAAAGATCACGCTGCTTCTGAATGCATCTCAAAATCTGCAGCTACCTTAAAAGGGCAAATCAAAGCTAATTTTCAATACACTTAAGTCTCTTAACTTATCAAATCCACCAGCAAACCACAAATATTGAGATGGCTTTTAAGGCTTCAAGTCAATCCATACTGATTTTATCCGAGTTTTTTTTATAAGTTTGTGTTCTACCTGTGCAAGATCCAAACTCTGAAATGTCCATTTCAGTAATCGCTGCAGATGTGCCCCGACTTTTCCTTTTGTTTTTGAACTTTATATAACTGCTGACAACCCAGCTTTATCTGTATGCCAAATTTTTAAAAGAAAGTTAAGAAGCCAAAGTGATAATAATGTACATAACATTTTAAGTCTTAAATTAATTGGAGGTATATTTTTCTAGGTATTTCAGTGGCAGCACGTTTTACTCTGTTCAGTTGATTTCAAAGTTAATAGGACGATTAAGATAAAATTGGTATCTTAAATGTCCTACTCATTGCTACAATTTGTGATAAAAGTAAAGGCTAAATGTTGTCATTATTCATTCTAGTGTTGTACATGCATCAATTCATATTTGTATTAACTTGATTGTTCATCATAAAGCTAATGTATTCACTTTATTTGTTGGTATCACTGCCACAAAAATGTAAAATAGAAAGCATTGGAAAAGCCGTAACACTCATGAGTTTAAGTTGTCTTGATATTGTAGCATTGCAAAACCTGTAATGTGCTGCAGAAGAATTGTTTCGATTGGAGTTTTTTATTAGATATTTCTCAGGTATTGTAAAAAAAAGTTTTTCATCCACGTTGATTTTCATTCTGAGGTACGTTTGAACCAATGAAAGTTCAAATATTGTTTGTTTGTTTCGTTTTTATTTCTTCAAATTATGATCAGTGTGACCTCGAGTAAATTGCTTATCCCTCCTTATCAAAATATTAAATTCAAGACCAGAATGTTTGGACTTTTTGGTAATGGCAGAGTTGAAAGTCAGATGATCTTTGAAATTTCTGCATTTCAATCTGATTCGTATGTATGTTAAGAGTGAGGTACATGTATTTCCCAGGTTTTGTGGAGAAATATGGTTGATTCTTCCAAAATGGTACACATTTTGTTGTGCATCCAAGATTGTTTCTAGACTAAACCAGAGGCCAGTATAAAAATAAAAATATTTTGAAATGGACAAATTTAGTCCAATTATGTCTTGACTTGGTAGGCAAGTTCAAACCCGTTTTTTTCACCAGATAAGTATTTCAATGAAAATGGACTGTAGGATATTTTTTTCTATACAGAATCATGTTAAAATAAAACAGAAATGAAAAAAAAAGAGCTTTTGTTAGTTTTCTTGTGGTTCTTTGTGTTGATGGTTTAATTTTTTTTTTTATCGCTGCATGAATGACAGGATGAGAATAGGGACTCCCATTCGTGGAGGGGGGGGGGGGGGTTGGTAATGACAAAAATCTGAATAGCTATTGTACTTAGCTAGTTGTGATGTAATTACTGGAATTTTGTTTGATTTTAGGGACATTTTTCTGAGCGTAAACTTCTTTTTGATACACCCTGTATACATTTAATGTATACAAAGTATCAAAAAGAACATTACACTCAGCAAGAATGTCCCTAAAATGAAATCAATTAATATTTTTGAAATATCGCTCCATTATGGGTAGATAAACCTTTCAGGCTGTATAGGACGCCATGATAATTTTGCACTTTTCATGCATGACTGATCAGGGCTACATTTGCAATCTTTTTGAGAAACGGCTTGCACACACAAATGCTGCGTTTTTAACTGGCTAAAAGGCAATAAGAGAGAAATCCAACGTGTGCCTTTTTTAATCACAAAGACCTGTAAAAAAATTCGTGGATGTTAATTGGATAAATCTGTGGGCTTTCTGTGCACTTCCCTCATTCTTGCCTCTAAACTGACTGTATCGATCAAGATGGTTAGACCTCAGTGCACACAGCGACAAAGGTCTTTCTTGGTAACTGCCATCGCGCAGGACAGAGGAATGGTCAGGCGTGTCGTAAATGACATGTTGAGGGGGCGGAAGTCTGTATCCAAAGGAATGGTGGTCATGTTGAAGATTAACCTGTTATTTATTTCTATAGTAAATGGTGATTAAGTGTTGGATTTGTTTCTGAATGCTTTTTGATCCAGTTAAAAACACCTCATATGTGTGCGCAAGCAGTTTTTCACAAAGTTTGCAAATGTAGCCCTGATCAGTCATGCATGAAAGTGGCAAAATTATCATGGTGTCATTTTAAAGCCTGAAAGGTTTATCTACCCCTATGTATGGAGCGATATTCCAAAAAAATTTAAAATTTTAATTTTGGGGACATTTTTCTAAGTGTATACTTCTTTTTATACACCCAGTATTTACATGTAGGTGGCCCATTCCATACTGAACAATCTTCTGGTGAAAAACGTTGCACTAAATTCCAAATAAGCATTGAAACCGAAGGGCCCCAGTGCTCTCTTTTGTGGTGATGACTGAAAAAGGTGGGGTAGTATCGAAAGTCGAGGCTTGCTAGCTAATTAAAAAAAATGCATGAAGCCCAACAGTTCCAACATATTCCTTTTGGTTCAACTTTAAATGATTTGTTTTCACTTACTTAGAAGAATTACAAATGACCACTTAAACTTTTTAATTTACAAATCAAATTTAGATCCTAAACTTGGCAGGAGAAATGCTTGGGAAATCATCCCTGCCTTCAAGATTTCTAATTTTAAAGTAGCTCTAGCTGTGCTCTTTAACATTTAGTATGATTTATCTAAACGGAAAAAAACTACTGTTTTTCTATCTTTTGGATGGTTCCAACCCTCTGAAAATATACTGTTAAATTGGGGTTGTTTTGCACCCATAATGCACAAGCGATAAGCCTGAATTCTTGTCGGGCCTCAAATAATTCGAAATTTGTAAAAATAATTATTCCATAACTTAACCTTTATTCACTCATTTTATCCAGTCAGTATTTCGAAATACCGTTTATTTTACTGACATAGTTTTTAGCCCTTCCCAATCACATCACGCCTATTCGCTCGTACCCCCGCTGTTTGCAGGGCGGGGTACGAGCGAAATCATGCCTAGTGAAAACTGGCTGACTTATGTTATGTACCCACGTGGCCCTAGCTGACTGATTGATTGATTTCACCGCGTACTGGACAGGTGTACGGGATAACGAAATACCGCCCTCTGTCCACCTGCTGTGTGTTGCTATGCGCCAGCGTCACATCCTATTTACGATGGCTCCAAAAAGACAGTGGTACAGTTTAATCTTTGCGGAAAACAGATTACTCTCACATTAACCAGAATAATAATTTGAAATTGAAAATAACTATGTAGATAATCAAATCAAAATAAACAAATAAAAATGAGAATTATACACAACTATGACAATTTAATGGAGATATTCTTACCCTTGAAAAAGTCTAAGACGTAGTTTCATAGCTACAGTACATACACATTCCTTTCCTGATTGGTACATGTAGCTTCGTCTGCTCTCCAGAAAAATGGCCTCAGACTTGCTGAAACAAAACCAACTGCGTTGGGATTTGAGCCCAGAAGATATCAAGAAAAGGGCTGATGATTTGATAAAGGAGACCAAGGCTGTTTATGATGCAGTTGGAGGTTTAGAGAAGGATAAAGTAACCTACGAAAACACCGTCTTGGTGGGTAGCCTATTGAATCCAACCACGTGCTAATGATTTGAAAGGGTTATCCGTTTATTTCCGACATAACAGGTGTGATGACTTTAGCCTGGCGCCTATGGCATTTCAATGTTTAACTTTATGTGTCACAAATGACTTCTGCAACCTAAATTGGTAATCGTGTACAAAAGACGTGTAGTTTGACTTGTGTTTCCTTTTTGACTTGTGTTCAAAATGACTTTTGCAAATGACTGTCAACAGTAGGTCAAATTTTCCAAAACGCAGTGTCTCTCGTACGACAGCTGTAATGCAATATTAAAATAATAAGAATTATAATAATAATAATAATAATTACTCTGGATTGGACATTTTAATTAAAAGTTAATGCATTAAAAGTTAATGCATGACAACATTTTCCCGCTGCACGTGACGTGAGAGAGTATGCAACCCACCGTGTGTTGTCTGACTGGAGCATTACAAATCTTGCTTTTGTGGAAACAGTTGCTGATTTGTTTTGCCCTAAGACTAAACAGGTCCCGTTTTACCTCAAAACTTATCAAATTTGTGTGATTACTAGCGAGTAGTTACGTTGAAAGTTCAAGTTTCGATCGTAACTTTCTTCAAAAATTCAAAACCAAAGATCTTGTCCTGTAGCGCCGTAGGAAACGATGCTGACATTTTCATGGGCGAATCCATTAATTTTGCAAGGGGTGATTCAGTCCCCTTTTTTAGTTTTACATCGTTTCTTGAATACATTTCAAGAAAAAAAATATATTGTGACGTAGAACAACTTATTATCTAATAAAGAAATATTTCGAACACCATAACAAGTATTAGTCGTCATTTTTCTTTTTTTAATCAGCGGAAATATTGGTGATCATCTTTGGGTACAATATGTTCTTAACTTGCCACTCGTCTAACCTCACCGTACAGTTCTAAAGATGTCTAGATTTCATTGTTACTTTAAATGACACGGCAGTGTAGTACCACATCAATAATTGTGATGTAAATGACGTTGATGTATTTTCTTGTCAGGCATTGGCTAATAATGATCGTGAGTACAGCGTCCTTCGTAACATGCTGGATTTCCCTCAGCATACGGCGCCTGACAAGGCCTTGAGGGAAGCCAGCACAGAGGCTGACAAGAAACTCTCTGATTTCGACGTAGAGATGAGGTACAGTTAGATAGCTGGCAACATATAACCGGGCTACACCGTTGTGTCCCATTTAACTGCTGTGTTACAGCTGCTTCAGGATCAGAATTTTGGGAAAGATTCCCATATCTAGCCATCAGTAATTTTTCCCTTAAATGACCTATCAGCCATCAGAAAGTGAAAATATGTCCGAAAAGTCAAAATTAGCAGGGACAAATTTTGAAGTTGTACTGAGAAAACACTTCCAGTCCCATAGGGTTTGTGCACAGGGTGACAAGCGATGGCCAGATATGGGAATCTTTCCAACTTTTGATTTATGCCATGGCTAAATTTTCCAGTTTAAGAGCAAATTATGCACATTTTTTTTCCAGTGAGCTACGTCTTGAGTTCATAATTTGTAGAGAACATTTGTAGCCCTAAGATTTAGAGTGTGTGCCGAAAGTGATTTTAGGGAAACAATACTCTAAGTTGTTTGGAACATCTTTGAAGGAGTGAAGTTACAAGAAAATTGATCAGTTTAAGAGCAACGTTGTTTTCATACAGGTTGAAGAAATGGATATTTTGCATGTATAGGCCTATGTATTAAGTCTCGCTGTAAAAATCATGTCATATCCCTTTCAGTGCTGTAGTTGAGCCCATCACAAGTCCCTGCAAGTCCATCACAAGTCCTTCAGTCTCAAGTCAAATCACTAGCTATTCAAATGACCTTTTGCAAAAGCAATCTTTTGTCACTGTTCATCACGTTACTTGTGAGGGAACTAATGAAAAGACTTGTGAAAGGACTTGTGATGGACTGGACTACAACACTGAGTCACTTACAAAGATGAGCCACTGAATTCATTTTATAAAATCTCTTTCTATGTAGGCAGAGCCCAATTTTATGTCTCTGATGACTCTAAATGTCGGCAAAGAATAACCACTTTATCAGAAAAGGGCATTTCATGGGTTGGCAAGGCATTTGGGCGTGTGCCCGTGATTATCCCATAGCTGAAGGATTCTTGTCTACGCTTTGGCTGAAAACACAACATATCAAATCACAGAATTATATAGCAGAGCCAAGAAATTAGGCACAGGTCACAAAGTGAAGCAAATTGAAGCAAACAGCTTCACAAGCAACAGCCACTGTAGGTAAGCAAGTGTGTAAGCAGTAAAAGATCTTGTTATCAAGTACATAGTTTTGAGTGATGACACAGTAACTTTCGTTTTTTTGCCCAGTATGAGACAGGATGTCTTTGACAACCTTGTGGCTTTCCAAGAGAAGACAGACCTGAGTAAGCTGAAGCCTGAAGCTAAGCGATACCTGGAGAAGCTGATTAAGCTAGGAAGACGAAATGGTAAGTGCCCTGCACCTCCAGATAGTCAAAAGTAGACATCGCTCGATTAAGTTGGCACACTCACACTCACTCATACGTTCGCCCACAAGTGGGCTCGAGTATGGCTTTTCCAAGTAATTCTGTCCCGCACGAGGGCGGCCAGTTCGTCTGTCGATTCTACACCGGTGTCCTTTTGCAGCACCCCGGTGTAAGACATCTACTGTCTTCCTTGCCTCCTGTGTTCGCGGGTTGGTTTCCAGAGAATGACTTCGTGTGCCTCCAGCTCCAGGTGCCGATAACCGTGGCCTGCTAACTGCATCCGACGGGCTGCAATTTTGTCTCCGACCTTAGGGAGGTCGTCATTGGTTACGTGGTACATTGAGTGCGACTCGGAGCATAAGTGTGTAGCATCCATAGAACGACTTCACCATCGTAGAAGTTAGAGTCCATGGTTCACATGTTGGAACAGCAGGCCTCGTGAGTTGCAGTTGTTGAGTTGTGTTTATGGGCTCCGAGTGTGGACAACAGAGGGCGCTTTTTAACCACTTTTGCCCAGTGGACGGGACACACTAAGTGCGCGTACTGGTTTGCGCGCATATAGCACGAAGTATACACATGACTTACGAGTATATTCTAAATTGCAAAAAGCCATAGTGTCTTTGCGTGAGCATCAAGTGTCGTCGGCATTGTGTTGGAATGTCTCTCCCAGTGGTCTCCCCCAACTTTCCTTTTCTTTACCGTTGAGGGGGTACTTGTGCACGGAGCCCATAAAGTTCATCAAAGGCCTCACTTGTTCAAACTAACTGATTCACAGCTTCTAACTATCTTCAAACTATCTGAATTACAGTGTATGTATCATAGGCAGGGAAGCTTTGTGGTACCTATAGAAATGAATTTTAATCACATGAATGATTTTTGTAACGACTTCCCTTCACATTCAAATTGCCCCATTTTAACCAAGGCGTGTTTACCATGACCATCAATTTAAGTGTGATTTTCTCCCAAAAACTGTTTTAATTATCCAAAAATGGAAGAACCATACACAAATGAAAATGCAAGTGTCAAATATCTCATTATGTTAGTTGTGCCTGCAAATTGGAATTCTGTGCAGAATGTTGTTAAACTAGTATGTGTCAGTTACAGTGATATTCTCTGTTGTCATCCCCACGTGTAGGTTTGCATCTACCCAAGGATGTCCAAGACAAGGTCAAGGCTCTGAAGAAGAGAGCCAGCGATATAGCCATCGACTTCAATAAGAACCTGAATGATGAGAACACTATCTTGGAATTCACTGAAGAGGAACTCGGTAAAGATGTTATGAAAGGCTTCATGACCTACTCAGTCCTTCTTGCTAATTAATCCCAGGCTTTTGACCATACGGTTCAGAAATTGCTTTTTTTTATGTAAAACTTAAATCAGACCAGATTTTGGAGGTTCATTGAACAAAAGTTTTATATTTTTATTTCTCTACAACATATTTTCATATTCTTTTTCAGTTGGTCTCCCTGAAGACTATATCAAGAGATTAGAAAAGGTAACTTTATGTTTCTTTTTTACATTTTGAATTGGTGTCATATTAAAAGGTAGATTACATCAATTAAAATTTGTGCATTACGTTCGTTAGAAGCAACAAAAGTGCTCAAAATCTAAAGAAGGGTGCTTAACAACTAACGTGATGAAGTTTTAGCTCAGTGAATGCTGTATATTCCGAGAAAAACAATGTGCTAGGATCTCGATTTAAAATCAAAAGTTGCCAAGTTATGTCTTGAATGGCCCCCGAATTCAGTGTCCGGGACACGTTCTCATTCAGCCGATTGCAGCTATGCGATGTTGAGCACTTAGCAGACGAATTATAGCAACCGTGTGCGACGTGTCAATGCTTGCGTGCGCTTCGCCAAATTAAAAAACGAACTACTAATGGAAATTTCCCAGAATGCGTCTTTAGACGCTTTGTTGGAAATTGCCTTCTTTCGTTGATTTCTTCAAAACGACAGCTTGCCAGAAAGAATAATTTCACAGGGAGTTTAGTGTCATTACTATCTTTCAACCAAGTATGCTTTTCAACAGTAATTTCGTCAGTTACTTTTTGGATAGCTGAAATGATGGATCCATGATGATGCTGTGCAACCGCCAGGGGAGTAGTGGAGTCCATCACAAGTCACACAACAAAAAGCCATGCACAAGTAACAGAAGATGAACAGTGACAAAGGAAAATCTTTGTCACAGTTCACTTGAAGAGCTTATGACTTGTGACTTATGCTTGGGATGGACTTGTGAGGACTTGTGATTGACTTGTGACGGACTTGCGAGACAGTGGCGTAACTAGCGTTAAGCTAAGTTCTAGGGGGCGCCTGGGGGCGCACCAATTTTTCAAGGGAGCCACTAATATTTATCAAACATTCATAATTATCTGGTAATTAATTACGTCTTGTTATTGGGTGTGACAGACAGCTGATGGAAAGTGCAAGGTATCGCTGAAGTATCCTGATTATTTCCCTGCCATGCGCAAAGGCCGTAACCCAGAGACCAGACGAAAACTGGAATTTGCCTTCAACTCGAGGTACGATGAAACCTGCTGTAAGAGAATTGTCCTATAAACAATTGGCTGTTTGAGGGTCAAAATGTTCTTTAATTATCTTGATAATGCCCTTTGTCATATTATAGGACTGTATGGTGACCGAGAGAGAGTGATGCATACTCTTGAATGCTTTGGCCTTATACATCGGGGGCTCATTTGAAACCCTATGGGTTTCCGCACATTCAGATAAAAATTCATCGTGACTAATTGGGGGTATAAACACTCTTGAACCAGTGTGCGATGCCATTAGATTAACCTTCTCAAATCCTCTAAAATGCTAAAATGGAGGATTTTGCAGGATTGAGGCTATATGGCAAAAATGTGTGGCTGATCTTAGAGGATGCACTGTGTCAAGGTCTTAGGCCGGACAGGCAGCTGTTATGCTCAGCCGTGCAGTAAATTTAGGCCCAGATTATACTTGAAATACTTGTCACTGGCTCTGCCTCAACATGTTGACAGTGAATGCTGGAGGATTTTGCAGGATGGAGGCTGCATCCTAGCAAAAATGCCTAGGAAGTTAGGGTTAAACATTTTAGTAATCAACTTGAATTCCTAAGAATTCTTTGCTATCTAAAAGGCTCTTTGAGACAACTTTGATTTCTGAAATAACCAAAAAGTATCAATTGTTGTACTTTTTTTTGTTTTCAGATGCAAAAATGAAAACACTAAGATCATGGAAGAATTGGTTGAGATACGTCAAAAGGTAAATGTTGTTTATTGGATTTCTGATCAAGTTAATGATCTCTTGTTTAAAAGCCCCAGTATTGCAGTGTTTGCATACCCAGTTTACTCCCTGCATTCTTTATCCTCCATGCTCAGTATTTAATCCCGCAGTTCATGGCATAGTGGCCCACAGCCATTTGGAAAACCTGGGTGATGACTACATCTCAGTCTCCAGAATGACTTGGAAGCCTGTGATGTGTCAAAGAAAAACATTTTTGCCTCTTAGCTTTTGTTGGTCCTGTTGCAGACTCTTGACCTATATTGAGGCAGAGGCTTTTTAGTCCGAGATTCCAAATGTCACGAAGTTGGAGCCTGAACCAAAGCTAGACTTAAATCCCAGCAGCCGATTTCATAAGTCCACTTGCGCCACAATTGATTGCGTAACTTGCGCAACGTTTCACGCTGCGCAAATTTCACTTATGACAATTTCCTGAAAGTTTCATAGTGCATAAGTCCGCAACTTGCGCAATAAATTATGGCATTACCTGCGCAATCATGTTAGGTGGCGTATTTTGTTGCGTAGTGACTGAAAATGGCCTATTTGTCAGCTTATCGTGATTGTCTTGGAGCCTGTTATTGTGCAACTTATCAAGGTTGATACAAGACACTCGCAGCTTTGTGCTTGAAGTAAATGAATTGCTATTTTAATTGTGATATCGTTTTGAGAGTTGCCGCACAATTCCAAAAGAAGTCGGTCAAAACGATTTTCAAAATGACGTGGCAAGGTGATTCAACGACTGTTTCATGAACAAACAAAATTATACACAAACAGCCATCGAAAATGCAATTATTATTCTTATTCAAGATATTTAAATTATTTAAAATGTTGTGCAGCTAGGCCAAGTTTTGTGAAATGGATCGTCAGTTAATTGTACAGCTGCACAACAAATTTTGTTGCGTAAGTCCTATGAATGGCATAAGTTGCGCAATGTTTTGCTAAATCGGGTGCAGGGCATTTAAACTCCTCTAATATCAAAATATTCCTTTTTTAATTTAATTCAGATACTGGGTTTTTCTTTCATCGACTCGGAGTGAGTTTATAGTTGTACCATGTCACATCTTTTGTGTGAGTTTGTGTTGTTCTGAAAAGAACCAGAGGGAAGTCAACATTTTGGACAGTGTATTTGTCAGTTGTCACTTGAGGCACCCACAAACTCCTCTTCACCGTGCAAACTTTATATCTTACCATTGAAGCAGTGTATACTCAGTGCTGTCCGAGAGCTATTGAGATAATTCCAGAATCTTGCACAGGTGGGACTCGAACCCCAAGCCGCCCGCTTAGTAGTGCAAACATCTTAACCACTTGATCACAGAGCTTGACTTGGTCAGCTGGCTGGTTCGTATCTGATGTAGCAGTTAATATTGCAGTCAATATCTTGTATGAATGAAGGTTATTCAGTCACGTAGGTGAAAGGCAACACCTGGTAAAACATTTACATCTCGATGCAAAAAGACAAACAACTCAACCATAAACAATACTATGATGGTTCTTGCACAGCTTGCAGACTTGTTGGGCTACCCGACCCATGCTGCCTACATTCTAGAGCTACGTATGGCCAAGACACCAGAGACGGTCGCCAGTTTTCTCAAGGAATTAGCAGGGAAGCTACGAGTTCTTCAGGAGGCTGAACTGAAGACATTCCTGAGTTACAAAAAAGAAGAGGTGGGCCATTCCTCTATTCATGTCTATTCAATGTGCTGTACACGTGTGTGTATCACATAGTACACACAGCACCAATATATTTATGTTGTTTCTTACACGTCCGAAGAATGCGAACCACTGTGCGGCAGGATTCACAACTCGATTTTTGAGAGTCAAAATATTGACACCAGAAATTCGTTCTTGCATGATTCTCGCAAAAATAACACAAAAACGCCAAGTTTTAAAGGATGTTCGTGTGGACGTAATTACTTTTAAATGCTCTTTCCAATTAATATCATTTTGCTTAAAACGCATTTTGTAGCCCAATTGCAGTCCTTCTGATTTGAAAAACACAGGTGTGTGGAAAAACGCACACCTGGATTTTTCTAGGCGTGTGATTTGTCTAGGCGTGTTATCAGGTCCGGGACCTGCCCTAAATCTAGCGACGTCGCTAGATTGTGCAACGATCGCTTGATCGAGCGATGATGACGTCAATTACGTCATGAATAATGGCATGACGTCATTTTTTCGTTATGTTTTTTATAGCTCCATGCATGAAGTTAGAGAGTTCAGCCCACCAAAAACCTAGTGACGTCGCTAGATTTAGGGCAGGTCTCGGACCTGGTGATTCTGTGGTCCAAGCTGGGACTGAACAATCTGGTATTGTTTTTCAAAATATTCATCTTGGTTTACAATAAAGCCATATTCTCTTCACCAACGTACTTTATTTTTCACAAATTATGAAGGGATTATGAAGGGATTCAGGTGTGCGATTATTCGCACTTCTCAGGAAGCATTTAGGCATGTGATGGCATGGGGGTGTGATCGCACGCCTCAAAACTAATTGCAGAAGGACTGCAATTAGGCTCATTCCAGGCCGTAATGTCCTTCTATGAGTTTCTGCCGTGAGCAGTATCAATGCGGGCTTGGACAATGTGTTTGACGATGGCTAACCCACCCTACCCACCAGAACCATGTTTCAATAATACCTTAGTGAGAAACTGGTCAGAATTGAAGATACTGGGAAATGTTGCACTTCTCAATACAAAAAATTACTTTGATAGAAACCTTGAAATGTAAGAGTCTTGGGAGAAGATTTGGAATACACGGTGTGCTTTTATACAGTACAGCTACAGTGTTCTCCCAAGTTTTTTGCTTGGAAAGTCTCAAATAGCTGCGTAGCTGTTGCTTTGATAGTAATTCGATTTTTCCCCTTTTTTCCTGTGACTAGTGTGAGAAGTACGGCTATCCCTTCAACAACACCATTGACTTGTGGGATATGCGATACTACATGAACATGGCCGAGGAACGTCAGTATTCCATCGATCATAACAAACTCAAGGAGTATTTCCCTCTGGAGGTGGTGACCAAGGGCCTGCTGGAGATATACCAGGTAATGTGGGTGGGGCTGGAAGGTGGAAAGGGAGGGGCTGGGAATGGACTCTCTTCATGAACAGGAGATTGTGCTTGGTGAACATTCGTGTCATGATAGCACCTGTGTGTAATACGCACCTTGTGTGCGCACTAGTTGATGCACATGTGTGACCTGCTCCACAAAAGGGTATTACATCGCAACAAAGTTGACATTGAGTTATATACATGGTTGGAAAGCCCACAACGTAAGCTTTCATTTGGTATATAATAGAGCTCAATAGCTCCTCCCGTTCTGGAGATATGACGTATTTGCATATTAATTACTTCCTTGGAGTTCAAATTACACAACTGAGAAAACAGGCTTTGAAAAAGCTGGCTCTGTTGTAGATTTGGGTATGATGCACTCAAAATTGTAGATTTTCCCACTTTATTCATCAAAATCAACATTTCTGTGAACCCTGAAAAATTGGTAATAAAGATGTCATTCATGACAAACAATGAAAATCTTATTTTGACAAAATTTTCACCCTCTCAATTTTGAGCGGGCCATTACATGATTATGCACAGTGCGACTTAATACCATTTTTTGTGGAGCGGGTCACATACAGCGTAAAGTATGCACAAACTTGCAGTGTCTTTGCTTGAGCATCAGGCATATGGTGACAGTGGCGCCAAGAGTCTGCTTTGTCACCATTGATACTTGTGTATAATGACATGATGACATCGACAAATTCAGAAACCTCCAACGTAGGTCTTGATAACTCAGTTAGTAGAGTGCTGGCACAAACTTTCCAAGTTTGCAGCATTGGTATGTTGCTAGCAACCTGACTTGAGATATGATCCCTGGCCACATGGCACATACAAGCTCCTGACTAGTGCCCCTTGAAAATAGACGCTGACAAATTAGGAGACCGTCAACATAGGGCTGGATAGCTCAGTTGGTAGAGTGCCAGCACTGTGCCAGTGAATCTTACAGGATCCAGAGTTATATTCAAGTCCTCACTAGTTACTTGCTCTGAAGACAAGTCACAAGCATCTTAAGTAAACTGTGACAAACATTTCCTTTGTCATTGTTCATCCCTTACTTAAGTGATTGATTAAGGATCTGATTTGGGATGAACTTGACAACTCTGCAAACATCCAATCAGAAATACAAAGGCCAACTCTCTACTCTTACGTTATAAGGATCTCCAATCCCAAGTCCTGATTTGAAAATCACAGGCGTGTGGGAAAAGGCACACCTGGTTTTTTCTAGGCGTGTTGATTTTGCTAGGTGTGTGATTTTTCTAGGTGTGTGATTCTGTGGTCCAAACTGGGACTGAACAATCTAGTATTTGTTTTATTATATTCATTTTGGTTTACAGTAAAGCCATTTTAAGAGTTCACAGATTATGCCATAAATGTATGTCGTGGTGTGCAGTACTGAGGGAGTCAGGTGTGCGATTTTTCGCACTTCTCGGGAAGCTTTTAGGCATGCGATGGCGTGGGGTTGTGATTGCACGCCTCAAATCAGAAGAACTGAATCCCTACCGTATCTTGTTCAAGAGATCTATGGCTGCAGTCTTTATCAAAGCTATAAGTTCCCCCCATCATATGCCATGGTCTTCCATCTCAATGATGGTGCTTTGTGTTGTCATTTGTACAAACAGGAGCTCCTAGGATTGAAGTTTGAAGAGATTCCCAAAGCACCTGTCTGGAATGATGACGTCACAATGGTAAATTGGTGTATTAATTAGATAAGCTATAAAAATATTGTTGATTTTTAAACCTGCCAACATGTTCCAGGTTTTGCTGTCGCCTTTGTTATATTTAAAGTAACAATCGTTCCGAAGTTTCCTTGTCCAGTTTGACCCAGGATGTGTATCTCCAATCTCGAAATTATAATCACACTTACACTAAAATCAATGTATTTAGAACGAGCACAGAGTGGAATGATTTTGAGACAATATATATAGAGAAAGGCACATTGTTGTGACATAAGATATCCACCTAAAGTTCAGTTGTGTTAACCCTAACGATCCCCGTCCAGTCAAACTCCAACACCATGGTTTGTTGGAATCTGTTAGGATGAGTACTCGACTAGTAAACTGATTATGCTTTACGTGGGATTAGGCATACCACAAATAAACAGAGTCCAACTGTGTATGTGCACAGTTTACCATATGGTGTTGGAATTTGCAAGGATGAGGATGGTTCCTAGTAAAACACCATAGGGGGTTAGGGTTAAACTAGTTACTAAGGCGGTAAGGACACACAACACATATCTTAAGATTGGGGAAATCAGTTTTTCGAAGTCAAGTTACTGCTCTGTAGGGGTGTGCCTCGGAACCGGGTACCCGAGTACCCGACCGTTGATGCCAGGAACCGGTTCCAGATTATGGGATCCGGTCCCGTAACCAACTTTGTAAATTACTTAGTAACTTCTCAGACAATGAAAGAAAAAGGTTTTGAATGCCATTTGTGGGTAATTTTCAAAATGAAAACCAGGCTACATGGAAAAACAAAACATATTTCACGTTATTATAAGATGGAATTTTGTGTCGGGGTAATGTAAATCAAATTAGGTTTTTGCCCTTCAGGAGGTCGTGGGTTCGAGTCCCACCCGAGTGATTTTTTCCAACTTTAACTCGGGAGGTAACACACTGAGTATACAGTGTTTAAACGTCGGTGTAGGGCAAAACCTAATTGATTTACATTACCCCGATGCAAAATTCCATCTTATAATATTTTATGCAGTACCCGCTGCTATGTACATCAGATTTGAACCAGCCAAGTGATCCCGTTAGCTCGGTGGTCGAGTGGTAAGACATCTGCACTAGAAAGCAGGAGGTCGTGGGTTCGAGTCCCACCCGAGTGATTTTTTCCAACTTTAACTCGGGAGGTAACACACTGAGTATACAGTGTTTAAACTTCGGTGAAGGGCAAAAACCTTATTTGATATTTCACGTTTATGACACTCGTGAAAGTTGCTATAAAGTAAGCTATGAAGCTCACTGTACGCACTTGTATCTTGCTGTATTGATGCACCGATGTGGTAGTCTTATCGTGCGGACCTTTATAAACAATCTGAACAGCAACTTCCGAGATTTGAACGTGGGGTAAGGTTTTTTTAACGGTACCAGGATACCTGAGTTTTTTCAGTCAGCTACCCAGTTCCTGTACTACCCGTAAAGGCACACCCCTACTGCTTCTTACTCAACCCCCTGGCCACAGATTTCTTAAAAACTAATATCTTGTCTCACCTTTTACAAAAAGGTAGAGAAAAAAAGTGTTCTCAAGAAAATAATAAAAAGGTTTTTTTTTGTAGGTGCATTTCCACAAGTGTTTCAACACAACTTAGTTTTGATTGATTGAGATGCTACCTGTTTTTTCTCTCTCTTTGTTTTGATATTTTAGTTTAGTGTGACAGACAAGGAATCTGGTGACTTCATGGGTTTCTTCTACCTAGATCTCTTCCCACGAGAGGGCAAGTTTGGTCATGCTGCCTGCTTTGGTCTACAGGTTAGTCGATTCAGCAGGGGTGGCGATGTCTTATCAACATTGGGGGAGGACAGGGTCCAGGCTTGGAAGTTTAAAAGGGAAGGGGGGGGGGACTGGCTGGACAACATCCGACTACAATCTGTGATTTCAAATATATCAATATAATCATTTACTGATGAATTGCTAATAGCACTTATTTTTAGCAGAACAATTTGACTTGATTTGGTTATTGTTTTTGGTCCACAGCCTGGTTGCCTAGCAGCTGATGGGTCACGTCAGGTTGCCATAGCAGCCATGGTGGCTAATTTCACTAAGCCGACCGCTGACTCGCCATCGCTACTCACCCATGACGAAGTAAGTCTTCAAAGTTTTTCAAAGTATTCAGTTCTATCTGTCAGATTCCAGTGTGAAAAAGTCTCATAATTTTATGTTCACTTTCTGTAATGCCAGTACTTCAACTTTTAACGAAAAGCTACATGCCAACAGTTATGGTAAAGTCTGTGCATTGGCTCAGCTCATTGAGCTGCTTTGCCAGTATATATGCAATGATCCTAGCTTTCCCCTACGAACCCCAACCAGACTCCAAGCCTTTACTCAGCCCTGTATTGCCCCTTGCGACTCCCCTTCCCTGACACTGTCATTATTTCTGGTCTTCTCCCTTTAGGTGGAGACCTTCTTCCATGAGTTTGGTCATGTCATGCACCAGCTATGTGCCCAGGCTGAGTTCAGAATGTTCAGGTACTAGCCTCAATCCTAATTGTTTCATTTTCTTTTTGTGTGTGCTTGGTTTCTCTGGATAGGTGGAGACATTCTTCCATGAGTTTGGCCATGTCATGCATGATATTCTGGGTCAGACTGACTTTTGTTACTTCAGGTCTGTATACATTTTGAAAGCCTTGACAACTTGTTGGGTAGTTGGTAGGGTGGCCAAATGGTTATGTGCAATCCTAGACTATTTGCTATTGCTAACTTTATTAGAAGCCTTTATTACAAACGTATTAAAGGCACTTGTGAAATATGCATGCGATGTCTTTTGTAGCACTGTAAAACAAATCGAATTTGATTTAAAAAAATTGCATGATATGCTGCACAACTTTGTCGTGTAAATGTAAACGCTCTCATTGATTTGTGCGTATATATGAAAACGTATGACATCGCGTGACAAAATTGCGTATGTGTAAATAGGCCTTAATAAATTCAGGGAACAGGATAAAAAATTGCTGCCCCGTGAGTAAGGTCTATTCCAAGGGCCAGTTGCACCAATAGACCTATCCACTAAGCCCTGTTTCATGTGTGTTGACCAATCACAGTGGTGACTAATGCCTGACATGCGTGCACTAAAGTCTGACAAGTGACATGCGTGCATATACACACAAGTTGTTGCCTACTACACAGTAAGCGGGGCTTAATGGGTCAGTCTGTTATGCCCAAATATCCTTTTAAAGTGCTGTATTCCTTTCCACCATTCAGGGGTACTTGTGCATATTAAAGGCATATATGATCATTTACAAATGCTCAAATATTATGAAATAGTCTGCTTAATTGTAAGTAAATAATGGTATGAAAATAATAGTATGAAACATCTTGTGAAATCGTTGAGCCTTGTATGCTGTCATTCTCAAGAAAAGAGGAATTTTGTATTGGTACTAACGATGTTAGGACTTAATCATCGCTGACAAACAGTTTTCTCAAATACTACATCCATTTAATGGCTGCAAGCCAGCTGCTGACTTCATGTGTAAGGTCAGATATGCTAGGTATCTGTATTACTTCCCCACGACAAAGCCGGTACTTGGGCACTCCCTGTGACCTATGGGTTCTGTGCACGATAGATTCAGTGAGCTGCACTTTGTCAGTTGAAAATGAACAGCGCTTTGTCATGTTTTTCCAGCACCAATGGACATAAAACACTGAACAGCTCAGTGGAACGATGTCTGCTATGAATGAATAGCCCTCAAATCGGTCCATTTCATGAAATTAAGGCCCATGCAAATGATCCTATATGCCTTTAACCCTACTAGGAACCTTCCTCATCCTTGCAAATCCCCACACCATATGGTAAATTGTGCACAAAACAGTTGGACTCTGATTATTTGTGGTATGCCTAATCCCACGTAAGCACAGTCAGTTTACTAGTGCAGTACTCATCCTGACAGATCCCAACAAACCCTGGTGTTGGAGTGTGGCTGGTTGGGGATCGTTAGGGTTAATCAAGAGAGTGCTTAAAATGAAATTCACATGCATATTCCCCTTGCTCTTGACTGTCTTTCAACTGAAATCCTGAGTTGCACCTTCTTTCTCCATCCTCCCTGCACTACTAGTCCGCAGGACAGACACTAAATTTGTTCTTTAACAAATTTCATCGATTATTTGCCACACCACAGCGGTACCCGAGTGGAGCGTGACTTTGTAGAAGCCCCCTCACAGATGTTGGAGAACTGGTGTTGGCAGGCTGAGTCGCTGCGTCGCATGTCGGGCCATCACAAGGATGGAACGGCCATCCCTGACGAGATGATAGACAAACTGGTCAAGGCACGCAACGCCAATGCTGGGGTCTTCAATCTACGACAGATTCTACTGGGGACATTCGACCAGAGTATACACACTAGTGCCAAGGTCTGTCTGTCTGTCTGAAAGTTGAGGTTCCTTGTTTGGGAGCTTATGAAGACCTTCAAATATCCATAAATTATGGGGTATTAGTACCAGTAATGTTGATGCTTGTGCGCTGTTTAATGGATTTTGGAAACTGGTTCACATATGAAGAACTTTTTATACTATTTAAAAATTGCTCTGTCCATACAAGTTGTCAAGTTTTCCCCCAAAAATGGATTTCTAGCCATACAAAAGTGTCAACTTTAGGAATGAGAAATGGAACAAAAGAAGAAAACTACCCAGGTTTAGATGTGGAATATTTTCAGCATGGGAGTCAATCAGTGGGGGTGGGGGGGGGGGGGAATATCGCAATGCACTTTTTAAAGTGGGGGGGGGGGGGGATATCATATTGTTTGTCCCCCCCCCCCACTTTTTTCGTCCGCGAATAAAAATTGTAGCCTATATGATAATATAGCTCAGAATAGCTGATTCGATGACTCCAAACTTGAAAATGATGTTTAAATGATAATCTTTTGTTAAAAAAAAATTGGTTAAAGTGGACAGAAATTGCCTCGGATCACACCACAGAGCGTCTAAAATCCAACATTCTTCAGGGCCCTTAAACGGGCCCCGAACCCCATGCCGTTAGGGCTTCGCGCTTTGTGCTCGCATAAGTTCTTATCAAGGTATGTCCCCCCACTTTTGAAAAGCGATTGACGCCCTTTATTTTCAGTATAAGTTTTGAATACTTCAGGCGTTTATCTTTTGTGTGCTATGGGGCCAAAAGCAACTCAAAAATAAAAGTGTATTTTCAGAGGGTTGAAAACGTCCAAAGTGGAAACAAAAATAGCTTTTTTTTGGTTTAAATATAGTAAACAATTGAAACTTTGTTGAGAGAAAACTTGGATTTGTTGTAGAGCACAGGTAGAACAACCCCAAAACTGTATTTGGCTTAACCCTAACATACCTGAATCCATCAAAATCCACACCCCTGTTCTGGAGGATTTCGGCAGATTCAGGATATTTCCATATTGAAAAAGTTGGGGATTTTGGTGGATTCAGGACAGTATAAAGTCGAGCGGTACTGCAGGATTTTGATGGATTCAGGATACCTCCATATTGAGCAGTTGGAGACTTTGCTGGATTCAGGATCTCAACAGTTTAATTTCTTGGCTATATGTTTGATGTGTATCATCATGATCATGTATGTACTACACTGGTGGATTCTGATGGACTCTCTGGTGGATTCTGATGGACTCAGGACACCAACATTTTTTTGCATGACAAAGTTAGTGAATTCATGATACTTTGGCAGATTCAGAATACTTTCTAGTAAAAGTGCTCAAGGGTTAATCAAACTTCAGGCTTCATACAACTAATTCAGTCAGGTCTTTTGAAAAACACTTTTTATAATTCAATTTTAACTTGCTATTGCAGAGAAATCACGTTGTATGGTCATCAGTTCCTCCTTATAACTTGCCCCTAGACTTTCAATTATGGCCTCAAAAAAGGACGAAAAACTTACCTGAAACCCCCCCCCCCCCCCACTAAAAAAAGGTCATCAATTGAGGATCCTATTGTATTTTTATATAATTGAATATAGGCTGATACCACCTCCGTGTATGCCCAGATATCTGATGATATTCTTGGCATACCAGCTACGCCGGGTACCAACATGTGTGCGTCATTTGGCCATCTAGCAGATGGGTACGATGCCCAATACTATGGTTACTTGGTGAGTCTTTAAAATCACTCTTTATATCCCCCTTCTGTTTAGGCCGACACATGGGCGATTTATTCTAAACTGTCAGAAGAGATCCTTGGGATACCGGCCACGCCGGGTACCAGCAAGGTTGCCTCATTTGGTCATTTGTCGGACGGTTATGATGCACAGTACTATGGGTATCTGGTGAGTGAGTCATTTTTGATAGTTGACCGGAGCATCAACAAGTGCAAGTGCACAATCAGCTCTGGCCGTCTTGTATGCAATTCTTGCATGAAGAAAAAGAACTTGTCTGCTGTAAAATTAGTATCCCACTGAAAAATAACAGGTCTAGGGGAAAAATTGAAAACTGTTGGGAAAAAAAGTGGACGTCTTGATTGGAATCGATCCATGAGCCGTCTTACTGCGAGCCCTATGCTTTACCACTGCACCATTGGGTGTTGCTTGGTTGGCCTGGTGAATTTGTGCACTGTTTAGAGTATACGTATACAGAAGGTATACGTACGTGAGTGAAAGGATCATTTGAACATTGATTAACCCAGACTGTTGTGTAAGAAAATAAAAAAAAGCTGTGGCCGTCTTGCATGAAATGATTGTGTGTACGTACAAGCCTGGGCCGCGGCCGCGGAGCACCATTTTCATTCCTCCTTCTGCATACCGTCCAACCACTACACAAAATACCACGTGACCATAACATTAATGTACCTATCTTGCCTCTGTTTACAACATTTTCATAAACAACATGTTACATATAATTTTTATAGTGCTTTTACTGACGATGGCATGGCATTTGCTCAATTTTGGTAAAAATAATGTTGGTCAATTTTCAGGGACCGACCGACCGACCGACTGATCGACTGACCAACCAACCTAGAAGTGACATGTAGTAGCTCCTTCCAGAGTTTAAAAAAAATGAATGATGGAGAATACCAATAAATGTCGATTTAAAACAAGGGGTGAATAATTCTTTTGCAAGGTGTGTCACAAATCATGTTTTGCACGCATTTGAAGCCTTGAAGAAAAAACTAGTCAGTATTCACATACAAAAATTCCCGTGCGCACAAAGACCATAAAAATTGCCTTATCCTTGTGCAAAAGTTTTGTGTTCCCACTTTTTTCCAATTCTGTGCTATGGAAATGGCCTCTCCGTAGCTACTCTTTGGTGGCAGTCTGTATTTTCAAGTGCTCTTACTCAAATATTATGCACAATTGTGATAATGAAATAATCCGGATACCACATAAAATTTGTCAAATTCAACTTATAACATGCAACAAGCACACTGATGAGACGTGATTAAATATTACTTACATCATGAGGTCATAAAATGACAGTAAAAATCACTCAATAACTTTTGTGGCCCAAAATCACGGACACAGAAATGACAAAGATATATATGTCCATGTTGAATAGCACTCTGCACTAATGTTAAAAATAGAAGCAAGTTCCCGGATCTCAGACAAGCATGCTGTACGAACTTCTCGCATGAAGATTACGCGCACGCTTGCAACACCGTTCTATGCGTATGTATGCGGCCAGATATGCATGCGTGCGCTCACATGATTGTTCGAAAGTTTGTCTGATATCCGGCGTCTGCGCGCGTACAGCACGGAGCAAAATTGACGTCATTAGTGCGGAGTGCTATTCACAGCTGCATATTAAGTCACAAATTACGGCCTTCAACGTAGATATTTCACTGACTGTTGAGCCACCATTTTCAATCCTTTCTTGCACATGATTTGTTTGTTATCAGTGGAGTGAGGTGTACTGCATGGACATGTTCTACTCTCGTTTCAAGAAGGAAGGCATCATGGACCCCAAGGTGGGAGCTGACTACCGCAAGTACATCCTGAAACCAGGAGGATCAATTGTAAGTTATTACAGATACTGGACATAGATTGCTTGCATTTCAGCCATCTTTGTGGTGTGTGCTTTTGTTTCAAGGATATGCGTGTGTGGACAAAACAGAAAGCTTATGGAACACAATGCACCCGTAAGAAACAAAGCGCAATACCAAATGTAAAGCCGTACAGATGAACTGTATGTGCTCTTCAACAGGTTTGATTTTTGTGCCTTTGGACTAATGTTCCACTTCTCTGTGTTATTTTAATGGTTTTACTTTTTCCTACTCTTGGTGCCTTCAACCCTCTGAACAAGGCTTTAATTTGGGGTTGTTTTGGAGCACTTAACCAGTTCCCACCAGGATTATTTTGACATTGACCAGACCCAGGCATGGGATTGTTTTTCATTAACCTCGATGCCAGACGGGTTCAGGCCATCATCTGCGGGTAGCACAGCCTGATATTTCTGGCCTCGCTCGCTGCGAGCGGGTCACTGACAGATATTTCCGGCCTCGTTCGTTGCGTATTTATCCGTCATCCGTTCCAAATACCGGTTTGAATACCGCAAAACCTTTGCGTGTATACATGTCATCCGACCTGAACTGATTAAACAGATCTGAGCAGCGAGTAGACTGGTTCCCGGCCCCTTCATTTTTAATAATTATAGAGAGGCCGGAACCAGTCTACAATGCGAGAATGACTTATTCTTGGACTGCAAATAATTCAAAATTTTTAAAGAATTATTGCATAGCTAAATGACCAATTTGTTTTTTTCATTTGATGTCTCATTGAAAAGTTAATAACTTGTGTGTTGCGAGAAAAATAATAATTAAAAAAAATCTACTTTTCAGAAAACTCAAAAATAGTATGGACAGTACATCTTTTACATATGGGTAAAATGTGTTTTCCGATTCAGTTCACCCAGATATCTGCTCGTTATGATTTATCTTCATCATTATGTTGTTTTCAAGATTGTTATAACAATTGTAATTTGTAATACAGGATGCCATGGACATGCTGAAGAACTTTCTGGGCCGTGAACCCCAGCAGGAGGCTTTCCTTATCAGCAAGGGTCTGAAAGTCTAACACCCACAGATGGACAAGGCTGAAGTCTGGAATACAGAAACACAAGCACAAAAGCTGCAGCTCTTCTTCATGGAAACATGAAATCCTTCTTGTTAGAGAACTTTAGAGTCTTCTTAAAAAAACCCAACAGATTTACTGACTTTAAGTGAAGGTAAATAGTTGTCAGTTTAACGCTGTTCTATTCATTCATACTGTGCAATTTACAACACTCTAGGTGTAATTCAATTTATGACGCCTCATACATATTTATGAGCTAAACGCGCTTCTTTCATTGGTCGATGTTCCAACGCGTCTCAGAAGTAAGAAAAGCCACCTCCCACACACCCACTCCCAACTGGTCGGGAGTACTAGGGAAGTAATACCTTCTAGATTAGCTCCTTAGACTCTCAACTGTGCACTGTTTGTGATCACAAGTAACATTGCTGGTGGTACCACACTAAACCATCCAGACAAACAGATGATTATTAAAATGATGCGTTCCGCTGGAGGGTTTTTCAACAGACTTTTGTCTAATTTTGATAATGAATCTAAATATGTACGAGGTATAATAAAACCAATACAACATGGTCTATTTCGGGCAAGCAGTCCCACGGTGTTGGCGTATTTTGACTAACTTCCTCCGCTTTGCTCCAGGAGATAGTCAGATCAGTCAACACCTCAGGACCAGTATTTTACACTACAGTCGACTCTCGTTAATATAAACTCTGTTAATACAAAATTCTGGTTATAACAAACATAAAGCCTTGGTCCCGACTGTGCATTTATGTGCACAATGAATGGGACTGATCTGTTCCTCTTAATACAAACTTCATATAACAAACAATTTAGCTAGGTCCGAACGGGTTTGTTATAACAAGAGTCGACTGTACGTCCCCTCATGCCATGTTGTATTGATATAAAACTGTCTGAACTCTCACCATTCCTTATGCTTATCAGATGCTATTTTGAACTTTGTCACAATTGTCGTTCTGTGAAGAGAGCAATTATGTTTTAAAGTATTAAAGTTACAGTTCTGGCTGAAACACAGGTAGTGTATTTTCAGTTTTAATGTTCATTAATATTAATACGTCCTCTTGTAACCTAGTTGATTTTGTTCTCTGAGGTGTAAAAACTTTACTTGTTTCATGTTCAGCTCTGTGACAAGACTGGCCTCACAACATTGAGCAATGTACTCAAAGAGAGATATGTATTGATGGTTACATGTATGTTTATTGACATTGTAATGAAAAATGGGGTACCGTGCTTGCAAAGAGGTCAGTGTAGAAATGGATTAAAAAGAGCGGTGAGATTGTTTAAAATTCACAACATTTTTTGAAATATTGCAAATTGATGACCATAATAACATGAAAAGAATTTGACTTCAATTTCCGATCATTTTATCAAACACATTGCAATTGGGTAAATATGAACATGCTGTCTGTGACTAGACTGGTCAGCATTTGGTACAAAGATGTTAACATAAAAAGGGCATGTGAACTTGCGAAACTTGCATGTTATATTTGCTTTCCAGCGCTAGGGTTACAGGAATACATGCGCGCCTCAAATTCTAAAATTGTTGCTCTGTGCCTGCATGCATGGTACCACATCAGCTGTGCCTTGTAATATTGTTCCTTTATTAGTCCATAGACTTTTTTGTTGTACATGTTTCTTCAAAACATTAATTGATAATCATGATGTGTAATCTCCAAGTCTGTAGAACAAGACATGTGAATGGTAGGCTAATCATTATTGAATGGCTGTAGTGCTAGAATTGAGAATGTACAATTTTGTTTCAGAAAGATGTTTAAGGATAGTTACTTGTGCACAAAGTGATAAGTATTATGCTAACTGCAACTTAGTTGAGCTTGTATTATTACCTGTTTTCATTGAAAATGAACTGTTCATATATAACCAAAACATGTTTTCTAAAAATGTCAGCTTTATTTTGACTACCTTTTAAATTCAATACAAGATACCAGATGTGTTTTTTTGGAGAAATATCTTAGATTACATGTGTTGAGAGTTAGTCAAGTTCTGTAACAATCCAAGTGCCTTACTTTGTTGTATTGTCTTTGTCCTTGGTGATGGTGTTGAAACAATGACCACATTGATTATTCATCAGTAATGTAACTGTGATATAAATGTGGATGTTTGTACAAGTGTTTGTGAAATGATCTTTAGGGACCATAAGTTCATTCACTCATTGTATCTCTTATCGGGATGAAAGATAACACTTAAAGGTGTAGTCCATCATTTGTAATTTGTGCATTTTGTTCGTTTGAAGCAACAAAAGTGCTCAAAATCTAAAGAAGGGTACTGAACAACTAACCTGATGAAGTTTCAGCTCAGCTTCAGCTGTATATTTCGAGAAAAACAACATTCTATGATCTCGATTTCAAATCAAAAGTTGCTGAATCATGTTTTGAATTGGGCCTGAATTCAGCGCCCGAGACACATTTTTCACTGAGCTGATTGCAACCACGCGATGTCGCGCACCGATCCGACGAATTATAGCAACCTCGCGCGCGTCTGCGTCATGTCAACACTTGCGCGCGCTTCGCCGAATAAAAAAAACGAACTACTAACGGACATTTCCAACGGTGTTTCTTAAGATGTACCATTGGAAATGCCTTCTTTCGTTGATTTCTTCAAAATGACAGCTTGCCAGAAAGAATAATTTCACAGGGAGTTTAGTTCCCTTACTATCTTTCAACCAAGTATGTTTTTCAACAATAATTATGCCAGTTACTTTTTGGATAGCTGCAAATGATGGACTCGGGCTTTAAGCTGGGCCTTGACATTTTCTTGTCTTTCCTGTTCACATTTCATAAACACAATTCCTGAACAAGCAGAAAACAAACAAAGACTTCCCGTTCCTTTCCCACTATTTTAATTTGTATTACAACAAACATTAAACCTCAACAAGGATGCAATGCAATATATGACACTATTAAACACATGAAAGGAACTGAATTGTCTTGGACTGCTTACATTTCTTATAAGTACTTTGAGTTGCAAATGAGTTGTTGTGTGTGCATGAACACTGATGTAAGCTATCATATGCAATGGTGGTTCAAATAACATGGCAATACAAGTATGGGTAACAAACAACATTTCAAAATGTTTTAAATACAACTTTTAAAACCTCTTTTCATAAAAATTCAGCATTTCTGCCTCATCCTTTCTTTGAGTTATCTACATATGTGGTATAGTTTAATTATCAACTGACTATAATATTAACAAACTCCGTCAAATTTGGACACAAGAACGGTCCGTGTTAAAAAACAACAGCTACTGAAAAAACAAACATTTGTGATTTAAAAAACTCTTTTTAACTTAAACAATTACAGTTTCATAATACTGAGATTAAATTCCAAATTCAACAGCACAAGTTGGGTCCTGTGAAGACCCCAAAAATCCAATCAACGTTTGGTGCGTCACACACTAGCACAAATTTCAGACAAAGCTGACCAAAAAAAATCATCTTGATAATTGGTAACATTTAAACAAATAGTTAAGCGCACAAAATTGATCAGCACAGTTTGGTAAGCCCATTGGAAAACAAAAATGACTAATCCTTTATAAAAACAAAGACAATGTTGTTTCACAATGCTCAGGATGTTTGCATAGATCAGTCATCAGTGATATATATATATATATACATAAATATAATAACATATACATTCCAGGATTAATAATGTTTAACTTGGCTAAAAAAAAAACTACAAATGTTCATACTCTGATTCAAAATAAACTTACACGTTTCAAGTGAACCAAACTTGTACCTTTACAAACTTGTAACTGTACCTTTAACTTTGAAACAACCGCTGGACGGCTTAGTTTTTTTCTCTCGATCGAATACCCCTTAAAAACTGGTAACATTCAAAATGGAAGCAGTAGCTTTTGGAATTCTTGTAGCCAAACCATAACTACCATTATTAATCCCTAATTACCCACTCCATTGTATTTCTTGAGTTGAACCTTACGTGGCCCAGCATTAAAGGCATATAGGATGAATGCTTTTCATGCATTCTGTTCATTTCCTAAAGTAACACCACTCCAAATCCAAAGAAGAATATTCAAAACCCAACCTGTTGAAGTTTGAGCTCAGTGGATGTTACACTTCGCTAGAAAACAGTGAAAAAGGCATGCACATCCTTTTGATCAGGAAACACAATTTCGTCAACAACACTCTTTATTTCCAAAATTCAGTTAACTGACTGATCGTTGGAAATCACCTACATTTCTTGATTCCTTCTAAATGACAGCAAGCCAGACGGAATAATTTCACGGGGTGTTTAGTACCAGTACGATCTTTAATCCAAGTGAGCTTTTTGATAATTAGGCAGGTTACTTTTGGGATAAATGCAAATGATCGTATTTATGCCTTCTACTGATATTGACCTCTGTTAAACACTAAGACAACGGTAAATGTACTTCAGTCAGTAATCATTCAACCCTTAATATCTTACAAAATAAAACCCTTTTGCCCCTTAAAGTTGATAAAAATGTATGCAAATATTTTGTGCAGTCATCAGCTGTGGTAGACTTCATTTGGTTACGCTCGAGGCAAGACTATTATAGGTTTCTTACAGCGGTAAAATCTGAGTTGATACGGCGTTGGTTTTGTTGTTACATGTACATTGTGGAATAAATAGCACACATCAAATAAATAAACATTCTGGTTCCTGAAAACCACCTGACAGATTTGTCACAACCATGGCAACACGCTTATCCCTGAAATTACAATCAATGATTTTGAGTAAACAACTGAACAAAAATACTGACCAATATCCCGATTTCAATTGACCTCAGAAATGTTTCTCAGCACTCTTTGTCGAGCAGAAATGGTATAATTTATAAAGTTAAAAATGCCAATAAATAAAATGTTTACATGCTTGACTATTACAAAAAAAATAAACTGAACCAACTGAATAGCAATCAGTACTTTGAATAGTTATACACACGGGAGGGAATTAGAAATTACAGTACCTGCAAAATGCTACACATTCCAAACTAGGGTTTAACCTGTTTTAATTAACATGGTTAGTAACTAACATAAATAATTAGTATGAGTTAAGAACAACTGGTTACTTCGAATAACTAATTCAATAACTTTGATAGAATATGGTTTGGTTTATATTACCATGGCAAACTTTCATTTACAAATTGTTCAATAAAGAAATCCATAATTATTCTCCCATAACATCAGAAATACGGCAAGCTTTCGGCGTCATGAAAGCCACAAGATTTACTCACCCCTTCTCAAGCCTAACGTGAACAGGGAGTTAAGTTACAACTGGCTGTAAAAAAAGAGATATTATCTGAGTGGCCTCTCTGCCGACAATGCATTAATGTTGAAAACATACAAACTTCAAACATCTCTAATATAATATACTCTAACGGTTAAGCACATCTCAGTACTGCATGAATCGTAAAATTTATATACTTTGTCCTAAATGCTGGCAAGATTGAAACAATTTGATCAAACATCTGCAAATGCAAAAAACAAGTAAGCGATAAATTGTAGCATTGTAAAAAAAATGTGAGTTGAGATTAAAGTCAAAATTGGGTCAATGCAAGAAATCATCATCACAAAATTGTCTTCTGACAACTTGCAATGATCTGATTGCAATTAACGAGCTAGCTGGCATGGGAACATTTTATGTGCCACATGAATGCCTAGATTCAGTTAAAGAGCAGTTCTCTAACTCTTTAAATCAAATAAATACTCAAAGTAAAAAGTCACACTACATCCAACACAATGATGAATACATAAAGCTGGTAGACGTTTGTGGACCAATGTCTGGCATTTTTGGCTTGTGGCTTGTGACTTGCTCAGCATAAACATTTCCGTGCAAATCTGTGTGTACCATTGTACCATGTGTGTACCATTGTACCATTTAAGCTGAAACTTCCTATCTTTCCTACATTATCCTCAAAAGAGAATAATTTTGTTTACATTTTCTTTTTCCATTTTTCAGATGAGTTAAGGACAGGATGGTTTTCTTACTTTTTAAATACACCCCTTAAAAAAAATGGCTTGAAATAAAAGTAAAATTTAAAGCAGTTCAAAATTTATGAATGGAGTTTGGCAGAAACTGCTCAGATATGTTTACAAATAATTTAAAAGTGTTTACCTAATCAAGTATACTAATTGTGAAAACTGTACAGGCAAACATATATGAACATGTGAATTCCAAATACTTCTTCCTAAATAACAAACACACATGTACTTTTAAAAGTTCCATGCAGGTACCCAACTCCTGTGGGAATGTTACTGTATGCGTCACCAGTTATGAGGAGTACCAACTGCGCACCATGGCAACAGCTGTTTGTTCCAACAAGCAATTTCGTTTTGGATTTGAAAATCCAAAATGAACATCTAGAAGCCAAATCCCTTTCAGTCATAATGTCTTTTTATCAACAAAACATGTTGCTTTATAAAGGTAGAGTAGAACATTTGTCATTTTGTGCATTTGTTTCGATTTAAAGCAACTTCTTTTATTGTTTTCTTCAAAATAACAGCATGCCAGTAAGAATAATTTCACAGGGAGTTTAGTGCCATTACTATCTTTAAACCAAGCAAGCTTTTCAACAATAATTTTGTCAGTTACTTTTTGGATAGCTGCAAATGATCTACTCTTCCTTTGAGAAAAAGTACTGGCATTAAAAAACAACAAATTTACAAATACAAAATTTTCTTTGGATGACAACACGGTGGTGCGGTAATGAATATACATGTATTATACATAGGTAAAATGTACATGTGTACATGTGGCCCCCACTTGTTATAAAGTGGTGGGTACCAGTAAGACTTAAAAACCTAACAACTCATTTGTACATTGGCAACAAGAGTTTAATAACTTGTCAATGTAAGTACTGTGTTTAATACATTATACATGTACATGCATGTATGTTAACTCATACGCTGACGTGATGTTACATGCATATCTTCTGATGTTTTAGCAAACATTTTTAAGCCAAAATGGGTATGTAAATAACTCTTTAAGACAGAATTTGTGCATACTGATATGTGTAAGCAAAGTAACCCAAAACCTTTTTGCTTACCAATTTTAGAACTATGTTTACACTAAATCGGTAAGCTATACGGGCAGGGTTGCTAGGTTTAGCTGAGCCTGGGAATATGCAGACAGGCACTACAAGCTAGTAACCTTACTCTCTGGAATGGACGGCCACCGACACAGAATCCCACAGTGTTTCTGTAATGTGAGCGGACCTCATGGGAGCAGACTGAAAGGTTGAATACCGGGAACCGATCCTGGGGAAGCCATGAGATCCCCGACCACCGCAGGGATGCAATATCCAAATACTCAGGGTCTCTAAAGGCATTCTATTGAATGGCCATTATTATGGAAGCTTCACTAATGTGCGTAGAATGGTAGAAGACATGCCCACAGTCATGTGAATAGGTAATGGATGGTATACACATACAGTACATCATATATTTGACTAATCTTGTACATGTATGTACACCAACATGGGCATGCAATTTATGCAGATGCCCCAGGCCCATGCACAATAGCATTTGATGACACAATTTTTTGAAAATCTCCTTTTATTTCTGGGGGAAGAAAAACTCAAATTTGAGGACCTGCCACAGCTATGTGTTGGTCTGCAAAACTACATAACCAGCCCAGTACTAGGACGTTGTTTTTACAAGGAAACAGCCGTGAGCTCTTTTCGCAGACAAACGGGCACAAATTGACACATTCAACGACAGATGTCATTCGGATTTGAGGATTGCGCATACACGTTGTCAATAAAATTGCAAACCTGAAATGGAAAAGCTGACCACCTTTTACCGGAAGTGTTTGTTATTTCTATACTTTCTGCTCACTCTATACGGCAAAAAGTTGCTTTCAATTCAAGTGCTTTTTCATGTCACAGTTCATGATATGAACATGGTCATGTACTGATGATGCTATTACTTAGTACATGTAGCCATTATACAGAGATTTTTTTCAATCCCAAATTATAGAGTTTATATAAATAAATGAATACAACTTGACACTTTACTCCTTTAACAAAAATGCAATTGGCAAGAAGATTGCGTGCTGACGTCAGGTTAAATGGCAAGTCCAGGAATAGCACGATACAGTGCATGCGCCTAATGAGTTGTGTCATTACCACTCATACATGGATAATACAGAGTTAAGAGTGAGTGACAGCGAGCCCTCTGAGAAATGACGCGGATAAAAAACAACCACCAACCAAACAAATAAACTAAAGACAGTCTTAAACTACCGTAATGTAGTCTGGCATTAATGCACAAGAACGATATTCAGTTATAGGTATAAGGTAGCAGCCAGTATATTGATTAAGTAAAGTCTATATAATATATGGTTCTGGTGGACATTAGTATACATGTACATGTATAAAGGTACAGAACAATGCACAAACTAACATATTACAGAGAAGAAATGGAAACTTGATATGTTTTTAGTACTTGAAACCTCAACATGTGCAGATAAGTACATGTATGTATAGATGAACTTATTCATCAAATGATTTAATTGGTATTCACACTGTATATGTAGAGAAAAAAAAGAGTTTTATTTGAAAAAAGAAAGGAACAAGTTAGGGTGATTCAGACAAGATTAGTTGTGAATACAAGAAACCCTTCAGTGAAAGCTGCCATCTTGGTCTTGTTAAGTATGCAGGATGCATGATAGTCATGCAGTCAGATAACACATAACAGGTACCAAGATGACCGCTGTGGTCAGAGAAACCATGGTAACATGAGGAAATGTTTAGTTAATTATCAGCACCTACCGGTAAGTCAGGATACTAGACATAACGCTTTGGCAAAAAATGATGTCAGATGTCAAAAAGTGAAACTGTCAACAACAACAAAAAAGAAGAAATTTCAATTTTCAATGCTTTTGATTTTATCAAAATGCATAAGAAAAAAAATCACATAATTTAAGTGGTTACTCATAAAAACATATGAGAACAGCCTTACATCAGTTCTTCAGCTTTTAAAGAGAATAAATTTGTGAGTTGCAATTCCTTGAACAAATATAGTTGCTTGCAGGATTTTAGATTTTATTTTTCCTGATTTGTTGTTATTCTAGTAGCAATACTGTCATATCAAAATTTAAAAGGGTCACGGAGTGAGTTGCTTCCATTCCAATTCATGGTGGTATATACAGCATGCGCATGTTTCATCAAACATTTCCTTTCCTGTTACTGTATATTTAAACACAAATAAATAAATAAACAAACAAACAAACAAACAAAAATGAAAATCAAACAGAATGTAACACTTCATGCGTTGTGAAGGACAGGAGGGCGTAGGACCATATGAGTGACCCCTCCCACTGACCTTCAGCAGCAGTCATTATGTATGCAAAGATATGCAGAAAGGTCAGCAGAAAAGTCAATGAATATTTATGACCTGGTCAAGAGTTGGTAAATGAGTTAGTACAATGAATTCAGTATGCATACAAAAATAACAATCAGTCTCAAAATGGTTCTTAAAATGTGAATTAAAATGGAAATGAAAACGATGGGTGGCCATTCAAATTCTTAAAAGTGGAAGAACTGAGCGAAAACAAAGTATTCAAGGTACTAAAAATGAAACTCAAAAATCATCGTGCTATTTCTCCTGTTTTTTTTTTCCTTTTCAAAATGCATCATTCCAATTGGGTGCCAAAACCTCTTACCAGACAAATTTACCCAGCAAATTTTAAATTGGTCAAGACAGCTGCTGAAGAACATGTAACTGGGGTGGGTCCAAGGCAGTTGGCCCCTGACCATGGACAAGGGCCAAACATGGGTTGGCCCCTACACATGGATACAGCACCTCTTGCTTCCTCAAATGGTTAGGATGGAAACCTAGAAGATGGCGAGAGGAAAGAATCATCAGATTGAACAATGGTAGGGGAGGGGGTTGTGGGGGTGGGTAGGGGGTTGTGGTGGGGGGGGGGGAGGTGTGGCTTATGGGAGGGGGGTGTTGTTAGTGGGAGGAGGGGTTTGTGAGGGGGATGTGGGGGGGTTGACAAATTAAAGACAAAAGCTCCTTTATACATTTTGTAAGCCTTTTTTCAAATTTACCTCGTGATAAAGTGAATCCTCTGGGCATATTACTGAGCTTGCAAACTAACAACTAAATCAAGCCCATTTTGTTGTGAAGTGGGTCTCTATCATTTTGTTAGTGTGTAGTTGGGAATTTTTCTCAAGTTCACTATCCTGTTCATAGATATCAATGGAATTATCTGGTATGGGTACATACATGTTTATCATCATTTACATACATGTATTTTAAGTGAATATTTTGGCTATTTTTCTGGCTAGTTGATAAGCTGGGATGCATGCTGCATGTTCACGCATGTACATTATTAGGGACCATTAGAAATGGTACGCGTAAGGGATACGTACCGTATGTGGCTCGGGAAAATAAGCTGGTTATATCAGCATTTTGTGTGGTTATTTCACCAAACTCACATGTACACATCTTATCATTCTGATGTGAAAGGCACATTGCCTATGATGTGCCAAATGAAATACATGTAACAATGCAAAATAATGATGTTATTTTTTTCCGAGCTGCATACGTATCATGCGCATGTTCCATTTCTAATGGCCCCTATTCATTGACCCTCAAATACACGTACATGTATGTACATCTGCAATTGACAGTTTTTTTTTAAATTTACTCAATCTTTTTATGACAAAAACAAACATACATGTATAAACAGGAGTGGGGGAGGGGAGAAAGTGTTTTTTTTTAGCAAGAACTTTCAGGAACCACCCTAACTTAACAAAGTTAGAAAAGGTGATCTTGGCCCTTGTTCTTGTAGAAAAAAACCCCACATAAACTGGTAGATAACCTTGACACTTTAGATAGAATTTTGGAGAATCTGGGATAATTTAAATGAACCTCTCATAATGGTCATCAGATTTATAATCTATCTGATTCAAACCTTTCACTCAAAATGGAATAAAAAATCCACACGTGTATAATTCCACTTCTCAAAAATAAAATATACTTTGAAGCAGCACCCTTTTTTCTACTGTTTTTGTCACAATAATGTATGCAGAGAAGATGTCACCATGCAGTATTCTGAGCAAATTCTCCATGGCAACCAAATGACACTCTGACCTCAGTGTAACACCAATGTTGCACGGGCTCATATTTGGCGGCCATTCGCGACACATTTTCCCTTTGGCAAGTACATGTACATGTTAAGAAAAGGTGAGTTTTGAGTAATAACAATTTTAGTGCTGCAAAAAGAATCCTATTTTTAGATGTGTTATTCTTACCTTGCAGTACAATGTACCCGGTAGGTGTATGACATTTACATGTAGTTATTTTCATTTCATACAAAATGTAGCTGTCTTCTACTCACGTGTACAACTGTATGTACATGTACACAAGCACATGAACGTATGAATGTACATGTACATCATTTTGTTCATTGTAAATTCTGTGCACATGCCAATTATATGCCCATACTAACCAAACACCATGATCAGCATGGCAATAACCCGTTACTGCAGGTGTGTCTACAGATTTTTTTTTTATCAGAATATACTTAAGTTCAAGGGGACGAAAACTCCAGCTGGACAGTGGATTACATAACTCAGTGGGGGTTGGCAACTCTTGTGGTAATACTAAGATGATAAAAAAACAGTCTTGCTTTTTTTTTTTTTTCAAGCTGTCTTTGAATTCAGCAGACTTGTGTTGTGGGTTTAAGACCAATCATTGTTATCATAGATAGAAGCAAAATACAAACAAACTTGCCAGCAAGAACAGAAGGAGGAAGACGACAAGACTCAAGAAGATGGCCACAATGAACATGACAGCGTGAGTGAAGCGCTGGTATTTCTCCTTCTCCGTATCCTCTTTAGTCTTGGGGCCGATGATGGGGGGTACCTTCTTATTATTCCGGCTGTTCAGGATGTGGTGTCGTCCCCGCGAGCCACCCCCTGGCTTGCCGTTGTTCCCTTGCAGCGTCTTGTTATGCTGGGCCTCTTTGTAGATCTTGACAAAGGGCGTGTCCAGCGGGGCGGAGTCGTTGGTCTGGGTCAAGTTCCAGCTCGGGTAGCGGAAGTGCAGGTTGAATTTACGGGCCCAGCGGGCAAAGATGGCCTTCTCTGTGACGAAGACGTGGCCTGAGGTCAGGTGGGTCTCACTCTGCATGTAATACTCACATTCTTTCTTGCCGTTGCTCTCATAGTAATGGTAGGGAGTGGTGTCATTGGGGTTTTCCCTGTTCATACATAATAAAAACAACAACATTCAGAAATTCTATACTCTACCATGTCTACAGTATCACACAAAATTGCTTGGCCAATACTCATTTTACCACATAGTCTTGGTTCAAGTATCAATACTGCAAAGATCGCAATTTGAAGCTAGTCTCGTCATGTGAGTGGATTGTGTTGTAAATTCCCCATACCAGCGGCTTTTACTATAAGCAGACATGCATAGGAGAACAAAGTCTTTATAAAATGTTTTAAACCAAGACTAATAACCACCAAAAATTGCTTGAAATTCAGGCACTGCAGTGGATCATGGGCCTGCTGCTTTCAACTGTAAACAAAATTGTACAGTGATTCAATATAATGATGGTCTTAGAAAATATGGCGTGATCAGAATACGAAGGCATCAAAGGGAATGTCCTGGAATATCAAAGGTTAATACTTGTAAACACAAATAAGCATTTGAAGAAGCTTTTTCATTTTATTTAACCACTTTATCTTGCAATGGCCGAAGGATTCAGTAACAAAACTTGAGGTTCACTTACTTGCAAAACTTTTCATGTACGAGACCGAAGACATCAGTGCGATCGCAGGTGTCCAAAGCATAAATAAGGGTCATCCAGCCAGTAGACAACCAGGTCTTAGCATCCTTCCTGCAATAGACAGGACAAACACATGTACATGTATGTATGATTATAAACCCCAATTATAAACTATTCACGATCCCTAACGTCCTTGGCATTTTGCTCAGAACCTTGAATTCTCCAAAACCAATGGCACATTCCTCAACCCTTCAAAAATTATGAAATAAAAAGAAATTTACCATGTAAGTCACTCGTCTATTATTGCTCAATACATTTGAGTCCGAGCCCCGATACATCTTACCCCCCCCTCCAAAAGACCAATACACACAAGAAATTAAACTACAGGAGACGACACCCTTGTTTATACCTTGATATGCCAGTGTCTGTCTGGAAGAGGTTTTCAGCAAACGCCATCTTGCTAGAGGACAGCATGTAGAACTGAGTATCCGTGTAAGTCTTGGAGAAGTTCTTGGCAATGGTATAATGCTTGTCTTTCTTCTTATCCACCCGCGTGTTGAACAGCCAAGGAATGATGAGTCGCTCGGCCCGCGTGCTCTGGTTGACAAAGATCTGGTGCTGGTCCGACTGGCTTTGGTTCAGTTTAATCAAGTTGACGTGACCCATGACACGGGCCGTGGTCTTGGAGCCGACGTCGTCTTGGAAGCCACTGACAGGGGCGCTGTTCATGCGGATGACGCAAGGGTAGCCATCGATCTCGGCTCCAGCTGATTTGTTGAGGAGCTGGCCCGAGCTAGAGACCACAGCACAGGATTTACAGCGCAAGCGGAGTTTCTGAAATGAAAACAATCAGTTGCATATGACTGGTACCCTTTTATTCATTATGCAAACTGCCTCCATGTAATACTTGGCTACTCCCTCAATCCTCCAAATTCATCCTACGATCCAATATGTTGAGGCAGTGCCAATGATATCCAGTACAGAACGAGTCACATAAAAAGGAAACTCAAATGGCAGGACCAATTTTTAAGGGATGTTAAACACAACCACCATTTTAAAGTTCTTTCCACAGATCACAAAAAAAGGTAAGTGTTCTTTCAGCAAAACGAAAACAATTCACATATGGATGTATGTGAATTGTTTTCGTTTTGCTGAAAGAACACACTTTTTTTTTGTGATCTGTGGACAAAACTTTAAAACAGTGGCTGTGTTTAAAATTCCGTAACTTGAAAAGTGCATGAGTGATTTGAATGATCCTTACACTAAAAGAAAGATTATTAATTGGGCTTTCGTATTCTAGATTTTGAAAATGCTATGCAGAACTTCATTACAAAAATGATCCTGCCATTTCGGTTTCCCCCCTTTTTTTTTTTTTTTAACTCACCCTGTATATAATCTTTGCTCACATTTTTGCATGGCTAAGCACATACAACACAAGGTATACATGTACATGTAGCTTTAAGACCCTGACACAATGCATCATTCAAAACCTTGTTGGCACTGTTACAGCCCAATCTTCCCAAATCCTCCCAAATCCTCCCAAACCACCTGGTTGATTTTGGGGGATTAAGGAGAGTTTCGGTTAATGAGTCCTATTTGGGACAAAAAAACCTACATAAAAGAGGCCTGGGGCATGTACCTGTAGTCATAAACCATCAAAATTATACGTCTTGGATTTTGGCTTGGATTGTAAAGACATGTACATTTCAAGGGTTCAACAATGAAGAAATGCCAATCAGAATGATCAAGGAATCAGTTATCAATTCATATCTCATTGAAGTTCAGAATAATGGTAACTTACTGTTCTGGTTTCCATGAGATAGTATCCATCAACTTCTGGCATGGGTGTAGGTGGACGATATGGCATATGTGGTCTTACCCTATCCGCCATAGTTCGTATCACACTCTGTGTCACATCTCCCTCACCCTGGGGATGTCTCCCTACAGCGGACCCACTGAAGGCATCCTTTAATCTCTTGAGATGTTGATTTCTGGAGTTCCATCCACGCACTGTGGCATTTTGACTAGAGTTGGGTAGTACTTTTTCGTGAGTTGTCTTGAGTTGTTGACTTCTACTTGTGTTTGATGCGTAGTGCGTTGCACTGAGATTTGTTAACTTGGCCAGCCCCGCTGAACGATCCCCGGCTAAGAGGGATAAACTCTTTGTGAAGGTTTCGTTTGGAGCATTGATGATCTCGTTGAGTTCTATCAAACGTTTCAGGCTGATCTCTGTCTCCTCCCGAATCTTTTGCATATTCTTCTCAATGGCAGCTATCAGGTAAGTGCTATTGTGGACCAAGTAACTAGGTGACAGAACTACTTTGCCATCATCCATGGACAAAGATGAGTTGGATAGACTACTATTCCCCAAAGTGGAGGGGGTGGTAGTTCTACTACTGTTGATGCCTAAAAGTGCATTCTTGACCTTCCTTAGAGAGTTGCTTAAGTTCTGCACATGTATGGACGGCTCCCGTATTAAAAACTGAGTCAGGTTGTTATTCAGTAGCTCTAAAAAGTTGTGCTTTGTTAGTTGGTAATCCCCAGTGTTCGGCATTCTCCCGTCGTAATTGTACTTGGCTGTCCTTATCATCAAGTCATCCATGTTTTGTAAAAACAGCGGTGCCGTCAGGTTTCCTGGGGGACCCCTCGAGTAGTGTTGTCTGAGTAGCGGTGAGGGGGTGGGCAAGAATATGGAGTTGTAGACCCGTAGTAGATGAGAATCATCCCTCCATTGGATGTAAACGTGTGAGTAGTAGGCCATGCCCAGAAGCATGAACAAGGAGTACCAGAAAATGAACAGGATAAGCCGTCGCCGGTTCTGAAGATGAGAAGTGATTAGAGAAATGATAAGTTATAAGGCTTGAATTAGAAAGCTCATTATGTGCTGCATTCTGCATGAATTTGACTGATTTCAGACTACATGTACATGTAAGAGTCTAGCGCTGTGCATTTTCAAATAATTTAGGATTTGATTATTTGAACTTGGATCGAATCCAATATTTGAAACAAGCTGATCAAGTTTTACATGCACCAGCCTAAACTCTGTGTACAGGTATGTGAACTATGTACACCTCGAGGACAGACAGACAAAGGGAGAACAACAAACTCTTTGTTGACCTCGATCGTTCATCTTTTGTTGAAAATGGGAGAGTGTTACATTACAGGGACAAAGGAAAAGACAATTGCTCGTCATCGGGAGTGATATAAAACACAACTGTGTGTGCTGGTCAGGAAGCAAATGGCCTGGCAATTGGAAAGTTGCGTGCAACTATCGAAAACTGATGAGTTTCATAAAATATACCAAATATCTTTAAATTTTTTTCAACGCACATGTTGCTGACTAGCTGATATTTGCAAGCTGTTGGAGATGCAAATTAGATCTTATACTGTTTTATTCAAAGAAACTGTAAAATCATGCTTGAAAAGTGACTATCGACCAAACTGTGGCATTTGACAAACATTAAAACTACACAATTGAAATAAAACCCGTGTTTTTCTTCATTTTCTTGAGATCATTGAAATTTTTTGAATATTCAACTCAGCACAGCCCTAGAATTATCAATTGAAACTTACTTGATGAATGGTTTATGGCGATGTCAAACCAACCAGATAATTATTGAACAATGACAATAATGAAAGCTGAAAAACAAGATAATCAAGGTTGTTTGTAACATACATAAGCACTATACAAACTGAGACCAAACTATCGCAATCCAAAAAAAAAAAAAAAAAAAAAGTCCACTTCTTTGACACCGGCTTCTTACACTGAACAATTTTCCATTTTTTCCCCACAATCAATCAACATGTGCCATGATGCTTTGACAATAAAGAAGAAAATGGAACAAGATGAAAAGGTTGAATACAGTTCCTCTGGCCAACGGACAAATAAACAGCCCCAAAACGTTCACTCTACAGTGCCTTGCAAGTCCCTGACATTTCAAACCTTTTTTTCCCCCTGTCAACTACCCGCATTTCCAATTTTCCCTGCCCAAATTGAATCCTTGGAAATTGATTTCAAATTTTATTTGCGGCACGTGTGACAGGTAGGCCGGAGACACAAATATACAAGCAACGAAATCAATGCGTGACGGAGGAAGAATATGGTGGCTTTAATTACATTGTAAAAATTTGCAGGGTGTGCGGAAACTCCCTGATTGGAAACAAAATTATGAGAGCAAAGTGGGGAAAAACAACAGAAAAAAAGCATTGTAATCAATTCTTGTGGTTCTAATTTGCAGTGACACAAGGCCCAAGAAGATAATTTGTATCACACATGTATTTCGCTTGCTGGAGTCAAACGGTGTTGAAATTCACATTTTTTTTTAAAGGACCCATGACATGCAATTTAATTTTTTTAATGCAATCCTTGAAAATGCACACTCGTGTCCCGCATTTAACCCTAATTTCAATTGTCATTTTGCCATTTTCAAGGGTATTTTGGTGCCTTTTTGGTTTTCACGCTTATGCCAATTTTCATATTCATGAGCAAAAGTGTGATGTCATTTCAGGCAGAAACCTCAATATTGCAGCTATTTCAGCACCACAAGTTGCCAGATTTTGGACATTTTGCTGTTGTAAATTTTCTTTGCTTTGGTGATTCGTAATTGTGTCAGACCTCAGTACATGGCAGTAACCCAATTAGCAGACTTTTCTCAAAAATGTTTTCAATTAATGAGCAAATCTTTGGGTTAATAATTTGAACAGAAAACCCCTAAACTGAACAGTGTCTTTCTCAAATGACATCACATGCTCCCTCAGTTGTCTGGAAAAACATGGACATGATGGAACTTCTTTAACAAAAAAAGTTTAAAGAAGTGCACTTTTCAACAAAAATAACCGAAAAGGGATGTCAAATAGTTTTCATACATATGTACATTTAAGAGAAATTGAAAGTTGCACAAAATGTGTTCCTAAAAAAAAAAATCATCTCATGGACCCTTCAATGGGGTGGGTGGAAATCCTAGTGTACATGTACATGTTTGTTGCAAAATCCCACTCCCCATGAAATTGATACATGTACGAGTACATCAAGGACAGATTTTGAAATGTGAATGTGTGTTTTTTTTGGGCAAAATTCTACTGACAGAGGAGTGTTGTTGTGAATTTCTATTAGTTTACAGTTCTTAGTTACTTTTCAGTGAGACCCCCAAGAGAAGGAGATACATTGTAAGTTATACAATCAAACAATAGATTGATTGCATTCAGCCGCCATCTTTGAAGTGTATACATGAACATGTATTTTATTTTATTTTTATTGTTTTATTTTATTACACTTCTCCACTGGCTGATATAAAAAAATATATTACAAGATATACAGAATCACAGATAAAAAACACAGAGAATTTACAATTTCAATAAATTGTAAAAAAAAAAAAAAAAGAGTTTATGCCAGAATACGTATGGATTAAGCCTGTGAGTGGCAAGATGGAACAGGTGACTAGCACCTCTACAGAGCCATCCTACCACAGGAAAACCAGATCCTATGTATTAATTTAATGTATTAATTTAATGTATTAAATCTTTTCTATAAAAAAAGGGGGAAAAAAGAGAGAGAGAGAAAAAAAGAGGGGGCGGGGCGTAGATAGCTAGAACAAAAAGCCAAAGGGGAAAATAAGGAAAAGAAGAAGGAAGAATTAAACAAAGGGGGGATGGGGGCGGTAAGCGATACTAGAACTGAAACTTAAAGAGTTAATTTCAAGTGGAAGACTGGTGAGCGTTAACCAAGTACAATGTATGTATCACCTCGATCATTTTCAGAGATTTAAACAATAAAATTGTCTCTGCTGCTATACAACACTGTCTGAATAGACTCTGTGCGTGCACAAGGTAATGTACCCTGGGGCGTACGTGAGCGTGTGTCAATACAGATCTGTCACCATGTGGACATCTGACTTGTTAATGGTGTCACATAAACTTCTTATAATTAAAAACAGTTATAATAATTATAACTTGGTATGAAAAAGTAATTATTTTCTGTTGTGAGACATAGTGCATGGGTTTGTACACCCTAGATAAAAATGGCATCCTACACATTGTGTTCGTTTTCACAAATTGTGTTTTTTACTAACATTCACATTAAAAGTCAAGTTACAAACGCTAGCTCTATCAGTTTGTGTAAGTACATGTACATGTACATGTAGTTCCCTGTAACTATGCCACTGGATCCTCCTTACAAAAACAGTCTTGATTCTCTATGCAGGAACCGATTGCAGAACCAACAGGACAGGCAAGTGGCAAGGCTGCCATGCTAAATCAATAGCACCAACTGGGTACATGTACAATTTAATTACATGTCAGGTAGGAGCCTCCTGCTTCAATCATGCCATCCCGTGAATGAAGAGACTACAGGCCTGGTCACCCTGGCTGCATCTTATCAGGCCGGCTTGTATAGATTTTTTCCCCCATATTCTTTCTGACAGACACGGAGACGACTCAAGGGGGGGGGGGGGCGGACTCGATCAGATTGAAGATTTTCCATCCTGCTGAATCCAGGTTGGAGAAACTCAACGTGGTTGTAACAGTTTATATTTAAATTGAATTTTGTGATGTCCTTCGAGGAGAATCTGCAAGACTCAATTTTTCCGGTTACTGTTATAGCAGGAGACAATCACAGCCGAGATTTTAGACTTAAAACTGTGGCACCTGAAATAAAACTGGTGAAAACAAGGTCTGAACATTTTTAGTAAATTAGATTCACAAACAATATGTTCTTCATGGTGTACATGTACATGTAATTTACTACTTCAACCAATCTTGTTTAAAGATCTTCAAGGGATACTAAGATGTGCAGGCAGCTGTTTGTGTCAAGTCTATTATCTACCGTACAGTGAACTCTGTTCAGTTATGCAAAGGGTACTGTACACGCACATATGTGTAAATGTATGGACCTATTTCAGAGAGGGACCCAAATGCCATCTTAAAATTGCAAAGGCTGACCCACATAATTCCCAGCTCTAGTCTACCCGTACCAAACATGGTCAACATAGAATGCAAAATGTGAATAAAACATGAATCTTGGCAGCTACATGTAACACATTGCATAGACTCTGCATACATCAAGCATAGGGGCCATCAATAAAGTACTTGTATGTGGGTCATTCCACCGGGTTGGGAAGCAGTGCATGTTACATCCATATATTTCGTTATATTATTAAAAGTATCAATGCATTCTAAACAATTGCTCAACATAGTATTTGTCTTAGGGTGTTTTAATACTTGAGAAAGTTTGAAATCATTTGAAAGTACTTTGACAAAAAAATGAGTAAATGTATTAATTCGGACGTAACATTGACACCGTGTCAATGTTACATCCAAATATTCTTTTCTTGCCATTTTTTACACGTATGTAAAATATTACCCAAACTGACATTGCATATTTACAACTGGACACCTAAGCACCAAGAAAAGCTTTGGTTTTGGTCTAGTCAGGGTTCAAATATAGCAGAAACAATACCGCAATACCGTACAATGTACGCACTTTAAGGAAGGCCTCATATTGGCATGAAATGGTACCGGATAGAGACAATGAGGCGATATCAGCTCAACATCAACTACACATGTACCGGTAGTATTCATTGATTCCATAGTAAACACCACTAAACTAGACTTGAACTGGGTATCACATCACACTTGTGCAAATAACTGAAACAAACTATGCCTTTCACTAAGACTTGCTGGCAGGTTTGGACTATTTCAACAATATCGCACATGTAGGCCTACATGTGGCCAGACATTTGTATAAGCCCTTTCAAAAATGGTGACAAAAACAACTTGTTCTTATCTGAACTAAAAGGATAATTGTTTGAAATTCCTCATAACGGACTCTGAAGTTCTGCCCATGCTGCCTGTTTGCAGTTTCCCTATCACCACATGTCTTTTAATAACCCTCCCAGAAAAGTACATGTAATTGTATGTGTACCTGTATGGGAAAGCGAATACCGTGATATTTTTTAGACAGATACGGTACCGTGGCCTCTCATCATCAAATACCACACAAGACTAGTTGCTTGCCCTAAAAAAATGCCGGTCAAAATCAGTTATGGCAAACTGCTTTCCTATGGGTGCAAAAGTACAAAATTATTTCATTTTTTCCTTAGTCGAACTCAGTCTGGTGAGTTTCGTTGCCGAAATGGCATTGTTTACCCCTACTTTTGCAAAAAGGGTGCCTTGCTTGTTTGAGGGTTTAAGAAATCTAACTTCCATATAACAGCAGTCAAAGTTTGTTTTGTGTTATTGTTCGAAAAAGTGAGTTAAACAGATAAAAGTTAGCCCACTCAGCAAAATATGAATTAAATAATCAAAGTTAATTGAATTATTTAGCTTTCCTATAGGAAATGACATGCTCTATTTAAGCGTCATAATGATGTCATATTTGTTCTTAGAAACTTTGCACATGACTGCCCAAGACTAATGAATCTAAATCCAAGACATGATACATACATACATGTAAAGTTGTTAGCTGCCAGTTGCAGGGAAACACATGCTCCCTGGGTTTAATTGTTAAATACAGTCCAATGACATACCGATACATGTACATGTATTCACGTATATTCCATCTTGGATTTTGCCCATCACGGATGTTATATCATAAACACTGCCAGTGTTGTCTATGGAGCATCAAATGACTTGCAACTGAAAAATATCAGTTAGGAATGGACTCTAGGTCCAGACAACTGCTTCATGAGTCAGTCTCAACTCTCTACGTCATATTCCAAAGGAAGCTTGCCCTCATCTGCTTTGCAGGGTAGGTGGATTCGCTAGCTGGCCTGCTTTGCGGGGGCGGCGGCTTTGTCGCCTCTCCCACTCTGTGGGCAAACGCAAGCTTTGCAGGTGAAATTCACCACCTGCTTTGCAGGAGGGGAGAACAACTCGCAGGCGACCAACTTGTGAAAGGTCAACTCGTGAACAGTAAACTCTTGAACAACTTGTGAACACATACAGACAAATCCGGCGGCAGCAATTTTCTGCGGTGGCGCAGGGTCGCGCGAGTCACGCTCAGGTAGTACGCATGCACTTCGGACTCCTGCGACCAATAGGAATACCAAAATGTGCGTGCGCCTCATCTTTAAGAAAGCGTGCAGCATGTGCGTGAGCATGACACCACCGCTGTAAAAGCTTCAAATTCTGGTCGTTGGATTTCACTATAGTATTCACATAGCTGTGGTTTTACATAAGCTGTGAAGTGCACACACTGCAGATAAACCATTCAGGCAGGAAATCCAATAACAATATCACACATAACTAATTCCAATATTCTTAGAAAAACAACCGAGCGTAAACACGTGTTGGCAATGACAAATGCAAAGCAATGTACATGCATCATCGTATTTTATACAAAGTACCCACCATACACTTCAGCATGAGCAATGACAGCGACATCTTGGCAGTGGTTCCGGGGGACCTTGTGATGCCGCTGTGCCCACTACTCCTCAGGACTGGATTCAGTCGCTCGGCTCTCCTTTGCTGGAACTAATTCATTCCCTGTAAACAGATGACAGAACAAACAAATCAAATCAAGGATCAAGTCTTTGCTGGCAGGAGAGTTTAACATGTAGTTCTTGCCCCAAAATTGATGTTGAGTTGAGGCGCAGCAGCAGAAATGTTGAGAGATGGCCAAAGTGTTCGAAAATGTAAAACTTATGGTTTCCAAATTATGGCCATTAATTCATTTGCCAAACAAATTCAGCATTTTGATATACATATGAATGAAAACATGAATATACTTGTAAAGTGTATTGTAAACTGTACAGTATTCCAAAAACCATGCACACGTACATTTTTTTTTATGTTCAAGTACAATGTGCATAATATGGAATGAAGGATCTCCTTTTACCCAAACTTATTACCAAAATCCACAATGGTAGTTCAAATCTAATTTTATTCATACATAAAAATGCAATAAATTAAAGAAAGAAAGAATATTTCAACATCAGAATTTCAGAGCAACACACTATGAAAATCCATTGAGAGAAAGTATATAAAAAAAATTGGAAAAGAAGAAGAAAAATCCAGAAAACAAATATCTGATTTCAGCAACAACACATTTCAACCTCAATCACGTATCTATTTCTCCGCCAACCCTTCGGGGGGATAACGAACCAAACATCAAATCACAATATGCCCTCGCACTCCTACTGCGACTGCCACACTCATTTGGTGCAGCACAATCAATCCTGGGGTGTTTTTCTTGTTGGGCTGTACACGAGGAACGTGCTTGCTGCGTCCTTTTAGCAGTGAACACTAAAAGGCTGTCATCTCTAATTTGGACACACCCCAGGCAGTATTTGGGCTGTTCCATCTGCCTTCTTCCTCTAGCTTGAAGAAGCACTATGCCTATGATAGCACTGATTTCAAATTGCACAAGTACATGTGTACGTACAAAAGAAATTTGAAAAGACTTGAAGTACCATATGTACATCTGCAGGGTGTCTAAAAAAACCAGAACTGTGAAAGCATCCTCTTTTTCACAGCTTTTAAAAAAATACAAATTTAGAGAGTATAGTCCATTAGCTTTTCAACAACGAAAAAATATCTTCAAATCGGGTAAATATTTATTGAGTTACCGGTATGGCGACTTCAAAATAAGTGCTGATTTTTCAATCTGTCCACGGTCTCAATTGTCACTTGTTAGGAATGTAATGGATTTGGTGTGAGGCTAGTTTTGCTTTCTTTAATGTTTTCATCTTTCTTTATTTATTTTGTTCACTTTGTTTTTTTAATTTTTTGGCAGCAATGGTCATTTCTCCTTTTGGAAGTAATGGTAGTCCTGAAAAGAACTGTTTGGTTAACTTCCTAGATGTTTACTGACCTGCTCTGTCCCTGCCCTCTACTTGGTAGCCTATTTTCACAAATGCAAGTTTTGGCCCTTATTCTTATTGCAGCAGTCAAAATATCAGTCGCCGCGGACAAAATGAAAAAGCGGTACTTGATTCAGTTGGCCATAACTCAATAAATATTTACCTGATTGGAAAGATTTTTTTGTTGTTGAAAAGCTAATAGACTATACCCTCTAAATATGTGTAGAAATTTGCGATGTATTTTTTTTAAAGCTGTGAAAAAGAGGATGCTTTGAGGGTTCGACACCGATGGCACATATGGAGCACCATACTTTAGTTGTACATGTATACTTACATACATGTAGTTTAACAGCGATTTGTGAAATACCACGTGACTATATACTTCACATATTTTGCCTCCCATTTACAAATTTTCATTAACATCTTTCCGAATTGTTACAAACAATTTTTGGTAAGTATGAAATTGATTTTGTTTGCTTTTTTTTGAGAATTAAAATTTGGTAGTTATATTTTGTGGAAAAATTATTTTGGTCAATTTTCGGGGACAGACATGCAAAATAAGCGCGTAATTAGTCAATTATTTTGGTGTACAGACAAACAGACAGACCAACCACCAAGTGACATGTAGAAGCTCCTACCAGAGCTTAAAAAACAGTCAGATCACATTTGTGTAAACACCGTCACTCTATTCCATCAACAGATAAAAGATGGAACTGGTACATGTACAGTACATGTACCTGTGGGTACAGCCAGCATATCAATCACCACCAGTCAAAACATACATGTATGTAGCTACCGGTACATGTATCAAATTAAAAAGGGAATTCTTACATACACTTACATATAACTGTTAAAAACAGTCACTTATTGATTTTGAATGCTGTGATGGCGTAGCTAAATTTGCCACCGAGAGAGGGAGAGTTTTAAGTTTGTCCTAACAAATTTGACACTGTTGGTATTTTTGTCTCCCAATCTCATGCCCTCTCTTTTATCTTCTTTCTGTAGGCTCAATGCACGTGTTTGCTTTATATAGGGACCATTGCTTACAAGCTTTGCTTCTTAATGGATCCCTCTGCAGTATCACTTGTTCGTTAATTGCATCTTTATATATCCATTTATTTATTTATATATTACTTTCTATGATTAACTTTTGTTGGATTAATACTGTGGAAATAAATAAACCTGAACCTGAACCTGAAGTGCATGTCGATTTTATATGAGCATGTGACACCTCAAAATTGGTTGTAATGGGTCAATTTCATCCCATGTAAACATATACAATGTATAGTACAGTGGTACATGTATGTGTATTTTTGTACCATGTACATGTATGTATCTACATTGTATGTACGGTATGCAGTGATTCTTCATTGCAAACAAGTTAAGATGGCACACACGAACTAGCAAAGTCCATGTTCGCAATTACATACTGATTTCCTCTCCCAGTCTTTTGAAGTCCGGAATACACGTGTGCAGTAATGGTCATACTAAATGTCAATTTACAATCATCTGAACAGTACTGTATACTGTACGTACATGTAATTAGGATGTACATTCTGTTTGTACTGCATCCTTTTAACATCAGTACATGATACATGTACATACATGTACATATGTACAGAAGTGATACAGGAATCTACAGAACTTTGTCTCTTTATCATCATACTTGTAGGCCTACATGTACAAGGTAATTTATTCGATAGCAACACATTTTTCATATATTTTTCAAGTTAATGAAGAGGAACGGTAAATTTACATGTACGCACATTAAACCCAAAACTGCACATGAAACATACCACGCAAGGCATAAAAGCAATACTATTCAGAAAAGCCATGGATTATAATTGAAAAGCAAACACAAGTTGCTGATGGGATGCCTTTATAATGACAAGCCCTCAGAATACAGCTGCATACCATCAATAGCTCATATCTCCTGGATTGTGTTCTCAACCATTTGCCCATTAACTCGGTAATAGACGAGGACAACGCAAGAAGCGCGGTCAGTTGATGAGATGGAGAGAGAGAGAATCCAGCCATCAAACCCATCTCAGGCTGATGCACACTCAAGACTGCTCCTAATTCCCCCAAGATGGAAAATTGTTTGTCTCCATGAGGGGGATCATTAAGGCACTCTACATAAATGCGTTATTGATGAGCCAGTGATGTTGAAATACGTGATTATATCACGTAAGGCTGTGTTTACTCCGTACTGTTAGTCTGAGTGTGCATCGATATTTCAGTTTAGCATCCAAAAAACCTTTGAAATCCAAATGAAACCAGAGCTTCGCGTTTGTTGAGTTACAAACACTGGGTGCATCGGGCCAAAAAGTATTTCACAGGACATTGCCCAGTAGTGAATATTTTTATGTCAGAACAGAAAAAGGATGAACGTGAGTCGTTTGTGGAAGAAATTACTGGTAGGTTCGTTTTGATTTTAAGGCTTCTGTCTGTATTTTTTCAATTCACCCCACTTTAACCTTTCAGTAGTCCCGGAAGTAAAGGTCAACCTGGTCAGTCTGATTACAAAATACGAACATCATTGATTATTTTGTGAAAGAAGTGAAAGAAGAAGGTCACTTTTTCAATTAAAATCGCTTGTAATTTGATACCTAATGACGTCATCATGACGTCAGGAATGCATATTGATAGTCAGGACGATGGTTTTAGACCTTGTTGTCAACTCTTGGTGAAGGTAATGTATAAATCTGTTACTGCTAAAGAGTTTGTTTCCCCGAAAGGTCAAGGGGAGTGGAAAACTATTCTGCACCTATCCGACAGATTAAACTGGACGTCTGTATGGGACAGTATCCATAAAAACCCTCTCATGGATGCTGAAGATACAGAGCTTTTGTTTCCATTAAGACATAGAATTTTACCTACGAGAAGCTACTTGAAACGCTATGGCATTCGCGATTCAGATATAATGTAAATATGCCCTTTGTGTAAAAACAGATGTGGAAACTATCGAGCACTTGTTTTTGTATTGTACATGTAATTACACCATTAACACAAGGATTTTTGTTGAATCTACCCGGTATGATCAGAAAATGCACCAAGAACATGTCGTTTTACCTTACTGATCGTAGTAGAATTTTGGGACATAAGATAGTTCTGGTGCCCGAGATCATTGTGAGCAAGATGATTAATGTAATATGGAAATTTTGTTGCAAGGCAGTTCATTTTGAGGAAACAGATGTTCTTAGAACTGATCTTGTTGAGAACTTCAAGCAGCGCTTGAGGAGATTTCTGTTTTTCAAAAGAAGTAGACTCGACAAGGCACAATTTAACAGGTACTATCAAGAAAAAGGGAGATTATGTGACCTGCAATGAGACCAAATCACGTTTTGTTTGTATATTACCTTTCCACAATATTGGCATACTGCTTTGAGTCTCTTCCCTTTTTGTGTATATATACATGTAATGCATACTGGTACATGGATATTGTTTTTTTCTCTGCCTTGGTAGTCTTGATGTAACAGTGATATTGTAAGTATGCGCATTGTTTATGTAATGAATGTAAATTCTGGTTTATTTTTTTATCTAACAATGTTCCTTTTTGTAGTCTTGAGATAAAAGTGATATTGTGAGAAGTATGCTTTGTGCAAAAATGTTATGAGAAATAAACAGAGTGGTATTTGTAACTCCAAAGAGAAGGGAAAAACACATTCAGATCAGGTATGATAT